TTTTTTTTTAGGCAGGGAACACTTTTTATTCAAAACTCATCAGAGAATGGACAATTTGGGTCTGTGACAAAGCATTTATGCTTTAAATCATAGGTCAATAATTGAATGAGAGCATATACTGCTACACATGAATTAACTGGTCAGACCACAACTTTTCAATGTTTTAAAACAGAATAAGCTTCCCTGTAAAAGCAGCACCTTTGTGACAATTTTAGTATTCTTCTCCTTCTTCCTTACCCTCTCCCTCCACAGAATCCAAACCAACCTCCTCATAATCCTTCTCAAAGGTAGCCATGTCCTCCCGGACCTCAGAAAACTCCCCTTCCTCCATCCTTTCACCCACATACCAGTGAACAAAGGCACGCTTGGCATACATCAGATCAAACAGATGAGCCCAGGCCTCAGTGATAGCAGTGGTGTTGCTCGGCATGCAAACAGCCCGCTGTACCCTGATCAGGTCTCCACCAGGCACCATAGTGGGAGGCTGGTAATTAATGCCCACCTTGAAGCCAGTAGGACAGCAGCCCACAAACTGGATGGTATGCTTGGTCTTAATGGTGGCAATGGCAGCACTGACATCTTTGGGGACCACATCACCATGGTACAACAGGCAGTAAGCCATGTATTTACCCTGACGAGCGTCACATTTCACCATCTGGTTGACTGGTTCAAAGAAGGCATTGATAATCTCCACTACAGAAAGCTGTTTATGGTAGGCTTTCTCAGCAGAGATGACAGGGGCATATGTGGCCAGAGGGAAGTGGATATGGGGATAGGGCACCAGGTTAGTCTGGAATTCTGTCAGATCCACATTCAGGGCTCCATCAAATCTGAGGGAAGCAGTGATGGAAGACACAATTTGACCTACCAACCTATGCAGGTTAGTGTAGATGGGGCACTCAATATTGAGGTTTCTACAGCAGATGTCATAGATGGCCTCATTGTCTACCATGAAGGCACAATCAGAGTGCACCAGGGTGGTGTGGGTGGTGAGGATGGAGGTGTAGGGCTCTACTACAGCTGTGGAGATCTGGGAGGCTGAGTAAACAGAGAATTTGAGTTTGGACTTCTTGCCACAGTCGATGGAGAGACATTCCATCAGCAGGGAGGTGAAGCCAGAGCCAGTGCCTTCGCCAAAGCTGTAGAAAGCCAGGAAGCCCTGCAGACCTGTACACTGATCAGCTAGTTTCTGAATTCAGTCCAACACGAGGTCAATGATCTCCTTGCCAATGGCGTAGTGCCCACAGGTGTAGTTGTTGGTAGCATCTTCCTTGCCTGTGATGAGCTGCTCAGGGTGGAAGAGCTGGCGGTAGGTACCAGTACATACTTCATTAGTGACTGCGGGTTCCAGGTCTACAAACACTGCCTTAGGCACATGTTTGCCAGCACCAATCTTGCTGAAGAAGGAGTTGAAGGGTCATCTCCACCCCCAATGGTCTTGTCACTTGGCATCTGGCCATCAGGCTACTGTATGCCATGTTCCAGGCAGTAGAGTTCCCAACAGGCATTGCCAATCTGGACACTGGCCTGGCCAACGTGGATAGAGATGCACTCACACATGGCTGCTGCTTCACAATCGCCAAGCAGATGGAGACAAGAGGAGAGGTTGCTGCTTCTTACAGTACAACTCTTAGGCAGTCGATGTAAGAGAACCTCTTAAGTAAATTCTGTATCACTTGTAATTTTTGTTTTAATACCATTTTTAACTCTCTTCAAAAAATAAAAAAATTAAAGTATATCTTTCTTTTAGATAACCAATAATTCTAAATTCTACAACGTTTTTTTCTACATGTTAAAAATTTATTGTTGGGATGGTGGTGCCTGTCTATAATTCCAGTTGCTTGGGAGGCTGAGGCCGGAGGATCACATGTTCAAGGCCAGCCTGGGCAACTTGGTGGGAAGACCCTGGATCAAGATAATTTTTTTAGAAAGGGCCAGGGGGGCTGGGGAGATAGCTCGGTGGTCTAAACAACTGCTTGGCAAGCACAAGGACTAGGATAGATCCTCGTACCACATGCTGTGCTGACTCAGAAGCCCCCAGGCATGGTGGGGCACACCTGTAATCACAGCACTGGGGGGGCTGAGACAGAGGATCACTATGAGTCTGAACTGCATAGCAAGACTGTGTAATATATTATAATAGGGATATATATATATATATATATATATATAGAGAGAGAGAGAGAGAGAGAGAGAGAGAAGGCACCAGGTATGTAACTCAGTCGTAAAGTATTTGCTTAGTTTGACAAGGATCTAAAGAAGTGAGAACCCTTATATGCTATGCACTGGAATATAAACTACAATGATTATGAAAAAGAGCATGGAGATTACTTTAAAAATGGAAAATAGAACTACTATAAGATGTAGTCATTTCACTTTTAGGTATGTATCCAAAACACTTCAAAGCAGAATCTCCAAGAGCTATGTATACACACATGTTCATAGCAATGTTAGTTATACTAGCCAAGACATGAAAGCAATCTAGATGTCCACAGAAAAATAAGATAAAAAGATGGTAAAACATATTGAGGTGCACATATATTTGCATATTATGCAGCCTTAAAAAAGGAAAAAAATTCTATGGAATGCTATAACCTGGATAAACCCTAGGGACATTATGCCAAGCAAAATAAGCCAGTCACAAAAGAACAAATACTCTATGATTCCACTCATTTTCAACTGCTATCTAAAGTAGCTAAAACCATCAAAACAAAATGGGGGAAGAAAAAGAAAACCAAAAATGGCTAACAAGTGTTGCAGCAAGAGTTTGATTCTAGGACCGGCCAGATAGCTTAGCAGACTAAAGTGCCTGCTTAGGCAGAGAGCAACAGTCAGGGTTTGATCCCTCACCTGCTATGCTGGCCCTGCCCCTGGGGCGTGCTGAGACTGAAATTGAGACTGGGTGTGGTGGCATGCACCTGTAATCCCAGTGCTTGGAGGCTAAAAACAGGAGGATCACTACAAGTCCAATCTAAGTAATGAGACCCTGTAGACACCGTAAACCCTGTAGTAAATACATTTAAAAAAATAATTTGATTCTAACAGTGCGTTAGTGCTGTAAGATGAAAATGTTCTAGAGAGCTATTGTACAACAATGTGAATACCCTAATGCTACTGAACCAGATATTTAAAAAATAGGGTAGGTGATCAATCTAACAATGCATGGGGTTTGCCATTAAAAAATAATTAAAGAAAGAAGGACAAACATTTGAATCATGCAGCATTCTAACGAATCAAGCACAGCCTTCACACGTTTCCGTTCAGGAAAAGCAAACCAGCAACCCAGTTCCATCCTCCAGCCAGACCCCCTTGGCTAGAGCAAGCCCCCGGCCCTTGCCTGCTGCAGCTCGCTGATAAGCTTGTTCTTGTCTTCTATCAGGCCAGCGCAGTGCAGCTGCTGAGTATTGAGCATGTCCCACAGCTCTTGGGGAATCCGCTTCTGTTTGCCCTCCTTCCATTTGGAAGTGATTTCATCAAATTTGTCCTGGCTGGTCTTAACTTCGTTCTCCAGCTTCTCGATTCTATAAACACACACATGCCAGTATCTCTGGAGCCTGCCTTGCAAAAGCGTGGGCAGGTTCTCCACAGCCTCCAGGACACCGCAACATCACAATCAGACCCCAGACACCATGCTCGGCCCCTTACCCCCAATAACCGATTAATGGAACCACAGGTACAAGTAGAAAAATCTCACCATGAGAAAGGGAAAATAAGGATTGCCTTTCAAAACTTTCCAGAGAAACTGTGAAGGGCCCTGAATGTTATGCTAAGCCTTGGAAGTCTTAGGATGAGATATGGCATTAGAGCTAACACAGGAGTCCTCTGGGGACAGTGGCAGGAACCAAGCCAGCGGCTCCATCTGTATTCACCACTATGTATTTTCCTGCAGCTGTCTCCACACTGGAGCACAAAGCCCCTCAAGGACAGAGTCCCACCTGAAACATCTGTGAGCCTCCCTACTCTTTGCCCACTCAAGCCAGGCCATACTCTGTCTTCTGTTCTGATGGGAGGTTTGTCTCAGGAACAGCTGAGTAACTGCCAGGTCATCTTGTGGGAGAACTTTATCTGCACTCTGCCTCTCTGGAGCTTCCATTTCTCCTCAGTGACTATGGGATTAAGCCTCCTTTCTTAGCATAATACTCAAGACCTTTCACAAGCTGACCCTGCAGGCCAGTTCAGCTGCTGGCATGGTCCACTGGGGTGGGGGAAGTTTCAAAAAATGAAGTCACCCACTCCACCGTCCTAGTAGAACTGGTAAAGTTGCTAAAGGGAGAATGACTCATGCTGAATAATTAACAATGTTGTATGTACATGCTCAGCTAAAATGGTCAACTGGGTAACTATTTCTAATTAAGCTACGTTTAAGAAATGAATCAAAGAAGATTCCAAAGTAGATTAAATGAGGACCTCTCTACCTTCTATGAGGCCACTGCTATATGTAAACCAAAGATTATTTTTTTGTGGTACTGGGGATTGAACCCTGGAAACTGTTGTGCACATGCTAGGCAGGTGTTCTACCACTGAGTTGCAGCCCCAATCTTTTTCTATTTCTATCTTTCATTTTGAAATACAGTCTCACTAAGTTGCCACGCTGGCCTTAAGACTTGCAATCCCCCGGCCCAGCCTCCCACGTATAGGAGCTTCAATTACAAGTGCACACCACCACATCCAGCTTAAAGATGATTATTCTAGGTAGCTTACACCTCACTAGTGGGCAAATGAGATTTGGGAAGGTAGATGTGGAAGGCAGCTTGCCTCCCAAGGACAGACTGAGGATTTGCCATGGGTTCTTTTGTCTCTCTATCCAAGGCATGACTCTTTAATGTTTCAAAATGCTCCTGTATTTGTACATCACTTATCCATCTGAGGTCATTCTGTACAGTTAAACTTAGGACTGCTCCACTGACCTTCTTGGCCTCACCTGTATTCTTCCACTCCCACACATCCTTAACTACCATGCATCTCCAATCACACCATGTCATGTCTTAAAATGTCTACTTCTCAACTCCTCAAATTCCTAGTTGTGTATTCCTGCCAGGGAGATAGCTCAGAGGCATCAGTGCCTGCCTGGCAAGCACAAGGTCCCAAGTTCGATCCCTGGTACTGGAAAAAAAAAAAAAAAGTTGCCTACTCATTCCTCACAGCCCAATTCAAATGTTGCCTGGTCTGGGAAGTTTTCTCTAGTCTCTGCAGAGTCCCAGAGACTTCCTCATGTATGCTTCCATGCCTCCTTACACATACCTATATTTCAGAACCAATTATGGTTATAGGTTCCTGTGTTGGTCATAAGCACAGGCCAAGAGAGGTGAGAGTTTTGTAACCACTCCGTTTGGTACACATCAGCAATATTACAGTGCTCAAGGGAGTGAGGGAGGAGCCAGTGAGAAGGGAGAGAGGGAACGGAAAAAAGAGGGGAGGAGGATTTATAAAGAGCAGGAGGGGTTTTCCAAACTAAGGCTGCACACACTTTCAAACAATGGAAGCAAATTTAGCAGCCTATAAGGGATTCCTGTCACACCCACCAGGCTGCAAAGAGGTGGACCCCTTACCTCTGGCGCTTTATCTCCTCCTCTTCCACTCTCCTGTGGATCTCCCTGACATCTATTGCCACCTGGATATTTGTTACCAGCTCAGTGCCATAGAGCAGTAGTTTGGCCAATTTCTGAAAACAAAAAGATAAGAATTAATAAAGTTAAAACACTGTAACAAATACAGAAAGCTAGTTGGGGGGGTGTTGCTGGAGATAAAATACGGGGCCTTACCCAAGCTAGGCAAATGCTCCACCACTGAACTCCATCCCTAGCCAGCTAGGGACACTTACCCAGCTCATCCACTGAGGCAGGAATCAACCCTCACCATAAGGCACTGAAGAGCAACATCTTTTTAGCAACTTTTTCCATCGAGACAGTTCAGAATATTTCAGTAAGCTTAATTTTTTTTTTCTTCCAGAGAGCACACTTATTTTGCCAGAAATTATCTCAGTTTCTCCTGCACAACACTTTTTAAAATCCCACCTATTTGGCTAAACCTCAGCTCAACTTTCACCTCCGCTTTTTGCATATAACCTGTTTTGTAAGTCACTACATGTAACATCATTTTTCCAGTTCTGGTTTGCTGTTTCGAACTGTTGGTCTTCCCTATCAAACTTTTTTTTTGTACAGGGAATTGAACGCAGGACATCACACTTGCCAGGCAGGTACTGTGCCACTGAGTTATATACCCCTCCTCTCAAACTTTTTGTTGCATATCCTTTATTAAATACTTTAAAAGACCCGTCCTTGACACAGAAGAGATGTTTTAGTTTTTTGTTTTTTGAGATGGGATTTTGCATGTTTCCCTCACTGGTCTTGAACTTCTAGGCTCAAGCGATCCTCCTGCCCCAGCCTCTTGAGCAGCTCTGACTAAAGGGGCACCACTACACTTAGCAATTTTTTTTCTTTTCAGTACTAGGGATTGAAACCAAAGATATACCCAGACTTTTTATTTTTTGTTTTGAGACAGGGTCTTGCTAAGTCACCAGGTTGGCCTTGAACTTGTGAACCTCCCACCGCAGCCTTCTGAGTAACAGGGATTACAGGTATGCACCACTGCACCCACCATAATTTTTTTTGTTTTGCGTTTATGATGGTGCTAAGGATTAAACCAAGGGCCTCATGTGTGCTACACTCCTAGTAGATTTCCCTTTTATTTTATTTATTTATTTATTTATTTATTTATTGTATTTTAGGGAAGGGTCTGCAGGGTGTTCAGGGTCTCACTACTAGATCGGATTCTTAGTGATGTCCCTGTTAACAGCCTTCTAAGTGCTGGGATTACAGACGAGCACCACCACACCCAGTCTCAATTGCCTTCTCAGTGTGCCCCGGGGGCAGGGCCCGACACGGCAGGATTTCCCTTTTAGTATTTATTCATGTGGGCTCTGAAACACTCCACACTTAGAAACAGAGGCCATCACAGAGCTTCTGAAGTACCTGGAAATGCTGCGTCCACACACACTTGGGAAGTTGCACAGGGCTGACCACTAGCTAAGAGGAATGATTGCTACAGAGAAGTACTGTATGTGTGGACTAAATGAGTTCAGGCTGGTGTTGTGTCAGGCTGAGACCTCTGAGGAGGAAGAGGTCCCCCTCCGGACAAGGCAGGACAACCCCTCTGCTGTCTGCCTCATCCCACACCCTCACTCCTCCAAAGAATGAGGAAGGGAGGGTGAGACGGGCCTGAAGCCAAGCCGCCCCCCAACATGAGGAGGTCAGGATTAAAGTGATGAGAAGGTCAGGATTGAAGTGATGCCCCCATGAATGTTTATTTATGGTGCAGCAAATGCAAGTAAAAGCTACCTTAACAGCAAAGTGGGCTGCAAGGTAGGAGGACCCAGGTTCCCTGATGGGTCTGGGTTATAGGGTGTACTCTGATTTGTAGGGGCAAACTGGTTTCTAAAAATAACTTCCAGTTATTGGCTGGTGTAATATAGGCCAATCAAGGTCTTAGCCCTTGTTTCTGGGGTGAAGAAAGGATCACTGGGCTACAGGTTCCTCATGTGCAGAGAAAATGTGTGCAATCGTTTCACAAGGAGTAGCCTGCTCCAGCCCACCGCGCACAATAAGCATGATAATTTTACAACTGTCAGGTCTTCCCCTGTATTCCCTGCCCATGCCTCTCTAATCTGTCCCTACACTGGACTGAGCAAGAGCCCACAAGGAGCTGAGAACTGAAACAGTCCTAGGGAATGGAAATGCACTCTGGGGGAGAAGCGAAGGGAGAGGAGGAGCAGAAAAGGAGGGCACTGAGCGCTGTGGAAGCAAGAGAGGAGGCAGCCCCAGGGGCAGGGTGGACGTCCCCTGCGGATTGCAGGAAATCAGGGTGGGAAATGAGCCTGCAGAGTTAGGGTGGGAACACACTGGCAAAGGCTGGGGGAGCAGGCAGGGACCCTGGACTTTGTCCCGTGAATGTGAGCGACCGCTAAGAGCGCAAGAGCAGAAAGGAGAACGCAGAAGCTCAAGATGGGCAAGCTCGCTCGTTCGGAGCTCCGGGCTAGGACCAGCTGCGTCCCAGAGGCCGGGAACAGCGCCGTTCCTTCCGTTCTACACTTGGCCGGCTCTGCCGCACGGGGCGCTGCTCTCCCCACCGCCGGCCCGCGAGGTCCTACCAGTCTGCTCTCTTCTTTCTGTTTGTAGCTCTTGCTGTGATCTTCCTCACTCTCCTTCTTCCCATCTAAATATTCTCCCAGCGCTTCCCTGCGACAGAAAAAAATAGAACCTGACTTACATCTACTATGCAAATACTGCACGGAAATATCGTATGGAAAGGCCTCATGGAACTTCACCACTGTACAGAGATACACACTTATTTGTATAACAATTTAAATATTACAAAAATACAATTGTAAAAATACTAGACGTGAATACAGGAGAATGTTTGTGCAATCTTACTACCTAGGGCCCATCTTTGAATAAAACAAAAGCCAGGGAGGTAGATATTGAAGTTTTACTTTCCAAAATTTTAAAATGTTACACTTAAAAGTCAAGGCATAAACTGGTAAAAGAACATGGACAAAATTTTACTGTCTATAAAACAGACCCTGGGTTTAGCCACCAGTACACAAAAGAGAAAAAGAAAGAAAAAATGACTCCTTCACAAAATATCAACACAAGTACTAACTATAAATTAATAGGAGATTTGAATGTGCAATTTACAGAAGAAATACAAACAGGCAATAGACATTTGAAAGTGCAGTCAGCTCACACAGAACCAAAGCCACACAAGCCAGCTGTAAAACAACATGTACAATAGTATATGCATTTTCTTTTGGAAACAGGTTCATGTACATATAGGACATTTTTCAAAAGACCTGTGACAGATTTGCCTACATTTTACAAATCCTGCATGTTTGTGTGTATTAACCAGGAAATGAAACTAAAGAGCTGAGGGAAAGATAACGTTCCAATTATGGACTTTCTGGGGTTGGCAACAAAGGTGCCAACTCTTAAGCCACCTCCTCAGCTCGACTCTCCCACACAGCGCTCGTCAGAATGAAGCCATGGTTCAGGACTCCAGCATTCACTGGTCAACAAGTGGATCCCTTTATCTCATTCTTGTGTGACCTTTTCTAACACAGACTTCCAGCACCACCTGCTTTGTTCAAAGTCCGGTACAGCTCACCCAGCATTACACCATTCTGGGAGCAGTCACCACCATCCCCCACTGCCAAGCCCACTGAAACCCATTTCCCTTGTCATTTCCTTTCTTCCTGGTTCCTTTTGAACCTGCCTTGGTTTTCTCAGTAAGAACACTAATTGTCCTGTCCTACTTGAGCCTCCAGACGCCACTGGGCTGTGTCCTCATCCACACCCAAATGCACACCTTCTCTCTGACTTTCTACTTTGACCTCAATTAATTAATTACCAACTCTGTCTAAATAATCTCTCCCAAGCCACTTCCTGGGGCAAAGATCAGGCTTTAGAAAAGAACCTATATTCCAGACCTGGTACAAGTTCTTTCCCAGTTTTGATGTAAATCCCATTGCCACCTTCTACTCATCATTGACCATCAAGCACTTGGTTGTCCATGCTGATGACCACCAACTACATGGAACCGCCAGGAACTTAAGAAAACGCTGGCCAAAATCAAATGGGCTTTGGGTTTAAAATACGCACTAGATGGATTTTGAGTAAAACAACGCAGTATGTCTCAATATCAGATATTTTTTTTAATGTATTTGGTACAGGGTCTCACTATGCAGTTCAGACTGGTAGTGATCTTCCTGTTTTCAGCCTCCTAAGCACTGGGATTATAGGCATGCCCACCATGCCTGGTCTGGGTGGCCAGCTCCAAGGGTGGAACTGGCATGGTATGTGATGCTAGAGATCAAGCCCTGGTCCCTGTGCTTGCCTAAGCAGGCCCTTAGTCCACTGAGCTATCTTGCCAGCACTCATATATGATTTTTTTTAAATGTGGCATTTTAGCTGGGCATGGTGGCACATACCTGTAACCCCAGCACTTGGGAGACTGAGGGAGGAGGACCACTATGAGTTAAGGCCAGCCCTGGTCTATATAATGAGTTCAAGGTCAGCCTGAACTACATAGTGAAAACTTATCTCAAAAAGAGAAGGAGAGGGAGAAGGAGAGGGAGAGGGAGAAGGGTAGAGACAGGGAGAGGAACAGGGAGAGAGAGAGAAGTATAAGGAAAGGGAGAGAGAAATAGAAGATTATGGTCTAGAGGTGCATCCATTTTCCTACCAATGACTCAAATTTATCCTTCTTTATGGCTGACTAGTACACCATTGTACATAATTACTACATTTTCCTTATCCATTCTTCTATTATGGGCATAGGGGGTGTTTTCAAGATTAAGCTAATATAATTTATGCTGCTATAAACATGGGAATGCATGTGTCACTGTTGTATGACGCTTTTAAATCTTTCTGGAAGATAGCTAGGAGGGAGACAGTTGGATCAAGTGAAACCTGCTGTTCTACCTTTTGAGGAATCTGCACACTGATTTCCATAAGTGATTGTTCAGTTTACACCCTCTCCAGCAGTGGAGACGGTTCTTATGTCCCCACAGCCTCTCCAGCATTTCTAATTGGTTGATTTCTTGAGGACAGTTATTCTTTCTGGAATGAGACAGAATCTCTATTATTTTTTAAGGAGGGAGGGCATTACCAGGGATCAAACTCAGGACCTTAAGCTTGCAAGGCAGGCGCTTATGCCACTGAGCTATCTCAATGTCCCTCAATTTGCAATGTCATTTAATTTGCATTTTTTGAATGACCAGTGATGCTGAGCATTTTCTCATATATTTATCTGATGTTTGTATTTCTTCATCTGAGCTATGTCTATTCATTCCAGATAATCATTTTTGGATTAGGTCTTTAAATTCAAGGAGGTCTGATTGTTTTGAGTTCTTTACAAGTAACTGGTAAAAAAAAAAAAAAAAAAAAAAAAAAAATCAATTCTGTGGGTTGTCTCTTCACCCTGTTGGTGGTTTCTTTTGCTGTGCAAAAGAGCTTTTTAATTTGATGTGATCCTAGTTGTTGATCCTTCCAGTGTAACCAGGGTTTCATTCATAAAGTCTTCTCCTACACCTCTGTCCTCCAGAGTTTCACTTATTCTACAGAGTCAGTGCTTCCGTTTTAATATTTATTTATTTATTTATTTATTTATTTAATGTATTTAGTGCAGGGTCTACAGGGCCTCACTCAGAGATCGAACTTGTAGTTGTCCTTCTGTTTTCAGCCTCCCAAGTGCTGATTACAGGCGCGTGCCACCACACCCAGTCTCAGTTGCCATCTCAGTGCACGCCGGGGTTGGGGCCCCACACAGCACACTGAGGATAGAACCCGTCCCTGCACCTGCCTAAGCAAGTTTTAATATTTAGATCTTTGATTCAATTTGATTTTAGTTTAGTGCATAGTGAAAGATATGGGTCGAGTGTTAACCTTGGCGTGTGGAAAGCCAGTTTTCCCAGAACCATTTATTTAAGAGGCTATTTTTCTTCCAGTGAAGGTGTTTAGCTCCTTTGTCAAAGATAAGCTGGATGAGTGTGCTTGTATTCTTTCTGCATCTTCTGTTCTGTTCTGTTGATCCTTAGGTCTTTTTGTTTTTATGTTTGTTTTCCTAGTACCATGCTGTTCTTACCGATAGTTTCGTAACATAACTTCAAATCAGGGATTCTGATGCCCCCTGCCTTGCCCTTGCTGCCAAGAAGCTTTTGCTATTCTAAGTCTTTCCAGTTCCATATGAATTTTAGAATTGTTTTCTCTAATTCTGTGATGTATCCTACCAGTATTCTGACTGGAATTGCATTAAATCTGTATAACAATTTAGAAAATATGCCCATTTTCACTATATCAGCTCTTACCCAAGAACAGGTGATATCGTTCCAGTTTTTATCTCATTTTTCAGAATGCTGTAGTTTTCCACATAGTTTTCAGAGTGCTGCAATTTTGCTACTGTGGTGGATTAGCTAATGCTCGATTTGTAACATACAGCTAAACTGAATGAGCAGGGTGGTGATTCATGGACAGCCCACCTGAGGATTGTTGCCAACACCATAAAAAACTAAACTGGAGAGAAAGAGGTGGTGCCAATGATCCTCCTGGAAAAGCCTGTCATGTTGGCTTTCCTAATATGAACTCTGCTGTTCTCAAGGTGGGAGAGCGCAGGTCCATGTAGCTGAGGATGGTTGTGGTTCTCTTTGGGAGAGCTCTAACCTTGAGCATCGCTTCCTGGCCCCAGTGCAGATTCTTCAGCTTGCTGGCACAAAGCTTTGGTTCGCTGGTGCAGACTTTCTAGCTTGCACCCCTGGCCTTTGTGCCTTGCCAGTACACAATCTTGATACAGACTGGCAGGAGACATTATTGTCGGCTCATGTCCTTCAGCTGGAGTTGCGCAGGACATTGCCATGGGACCCGGGCCCTCCGTTGATTTTTTTTTTTTTTTTTTTTTTTTTTTGGTCTCTAGTATGGGGGCAGATCTCCCGCAATTTTTTTTTTTTTTGCATTTGACTCTGGGTGCATATCATAAAATAATCCTATAAATTATGTGTCCTATATTAAATCTTTTCCCTTGCAAACCCTGACTACAATAACCTCATTTGTTACACTGAGTCCTAAGTATTTCACTTTTCTCAATGCTATTCTGTAAGATGTTATTTCCTTAACCTTTCTCAGGGAGTTTGTTATCCATGTACAGGAATACTTTTGATTTTTAAATGTTGGCTTTGCATCCTGCTAGCCTACTGAATTTGGTTATTAATTCTAGGAGTCTTTTGGTGGAGTTTTTGTGGTCTTCTATGTAGAGTATCATGTGATCCACAAATAATGTATACAATTTAAATGAGATAGTAATTTAACTTCTTCCTATCCCTATTCCTTTTATTTTCTTCTCTTGTCTAATTCCTCTGCCTAACATTTCCAGCAATATATTGAGTAGAAGTGGTAGTAGTGAAAATCCTTGCCTTGTTCCTGATTTTAGAATGAAAGGTTTTGGTTTTTAACCATGTAGTGTGATGTTGTCTGTTACTTTGTCATTGATAGCATTTCTCAGATAAAGTCAGTCTATTCCAATTTACTGTAAGGTTTTTGTCATGAATGGGTCCTGGACTTTGTCCAAAGCTTTTTCTGCATCTATTGAAATGATCATGTGGTTCCCTGGATCTATTAATGTGCTATATTACATTTATTGATTTCCATATATTGAATCATCCCTGAATCCCTGGGATGAATCTTACTTGGCCATAATGTTTCTTCTTCATGATTATAGACTGCAGACTGCATTCTATTTATAAGTAGCTTAGTGAGGAACTTTGCATCTTACGTTCATTAAGGAGATTGGCCTGTAGTTCCTTTTTTGATTGGGTCCTTCTCTGGTTTGGGTATCAGGGTAATGTTTGGATCCAGGAATGAGATTGAAAGTATTGCTTCCCTTTCAATTTCATTAAAGAGTTTGAGGAGTAGTGGCATTGGATCTTTCCTAATTTCTTGTAGAATTCAGCAATGGATCCATCAAGACTTGGGCATTTCCATGTTGGTAGATTTTTATTAATTCTTTAATTGGCTGATACTGGGTTAGTTAGAATTTTTATATCTTCTTGATCCAGTTTTGGTAATTCATATGTATCTAGGAACCAGCCCATTTCTTCTGTTTTCCACCTTACTCCAATACAAGTTCTTAAAGTAAGTACTGATGATCTTCTGAATTTCTGCAGTTAGTTGTGATTTCACCCTTTTCATTCCTAATTGCATGCACTTGAATCTTTTCTTTCCTTTTTTCTATAAAGTTGACTAAAACGTTGTCTTTCATTTAATCTTTAAAAAAAACCTCATTGCTTCTGTGCCTTTGGCTAAGATCAAAAATAAAAAAAATAAACAACACAATTCATTGTTTCTTTGCAATGTTTTCTTAGTCTCGGTTGCATTAATTTCTGCTCTACTCTTTATGATTTCCTCCCTTGTACTAGCTTTGAGATTAACTTGCTTTTCTTGTAGAAGCTTGAGGTTCAACATTAGGTTGTTTATTTGAGCTTGTTCTTATTTTCTGATGTTCACTATAAACTTCCTCGGTAGGAGTGCTTTCATTGCATCCTGTAATTTCTGGTATGTTGTATTGGTGCTATTAATTGCAGAAATTGTCTAGTTTCTTCTTTAATTTCATCTGTGACTCACTGGTTGTTCTGGTGGGTGTCATTTAATTTGCATGTGTTTATGAAGTGTTTGTGGTTTCTTTTGCCATTGATTTCCAACTTTATTCCACTATGATCTGATACTATGGATGGGATAATTCCAAATCTTTTGCGTTTACTAAAACATGTTGTATGAGTTAGTATGTGGTCTATTTTAAAGAATGCCCCATGTTCAGATGAAAAGAATGTGCATTCTGATGTTGTAGGGTGGAACACTGTGTAGATATCTACTAAGTCTATTTCTTCAAACATTTGGTTCAGCTCTGATGTCTCTGTTGATTTTTTTTTCTTTAGTCTATTTGTGACAGTGTAATGTTGAGGTTATAATTGTATTAGTACTTATCTGATTTTTTCATGTCAATTAATGTATTTTTATATAACTGGGTACACTGGTATTTGGTGCATATCTATTTATGATCGTTATCACTTTCTGTTGGACTGTTCCCTTAAGTATATAGTGACCTTCAGTTCCCTTGATCAGTCTTGGCTTGAAATTCATTTTGTCTGCAAACATAATAGCTACTTTTGCTCTTGCTCCAAGCTCCTATTGCATGGAGTATTGTTTTCCCTCCGTTGATTTTCAATTTACAAATATCTTTTTGAGTAAAATGTGTCTATTGTATGCAGTATATTGTTGGATCCAGTCTTCCAATCTGTTTCTTTTGATTGGGTGAATTCAGACCAGTCATATTGATGTTTATAACTGACATGTATTAACTTATCCTTGTCATGTTGTTTTCCTGTTATTGGTTCCCATTCATTCCCTTCTGTTTAGTGACTTGCCTTGCCTGGTGGATTCAATTATATTGGGATTCTTGAATTGTTGTCTTCATTGTATTTTTTTTCAAGAATACCCTTCAGAACTTTTTGGAATGCTGGTTAGTGACCATGAATTTCTTCATGTATTCTTTGTCATAGAAGTATTTTACTTCTCTAAGATTTTGAAAGATAATTTCTCAGGGCACATCAGTCTGATTTAGAGGTTGTTTTCTTTCAGAGAGCTTGCAATATCTCACTCCAAGTTCTCCTTGACTTATGGGGTTGAGTTGAGAAGCATGCTCTGATTCTGATGGGTTTTCCATTATAAGCAACTTGTTTCTTTTCTCTAATACTTTTTAATATTCTGTTCTTTAGATAAATTTCTGGAACCTTAACTATTATATGCTTGGTATAGTTTTTTTTGTTTTGTTTTGTTTTTGTGATCATGACTATTTTGAATTCTATATGCATCAATTATTTCTATCTCAATTTTTTTTTCATGCTTGGAAAGCTCTTTGCTATTATGTCTGTGGATAGTGTTTTTTTATGTTGTTTCTGCTATCTTCTGATTCTTCACTGATTCAAATTAATCTTACATTAGATTTCTTTGCTTTATCTAGGAAGTGTTAGACTTGCTGTTTCCAGAGCTCTCTCATTTGGTGATCACTAAACACCAGGCTATCCTTAGATCTGAGATTCTATCTTCTCATAGGTTGACTCTGTTGCATATACTTTTCGGTAGACTTTGTGATCTCCTGGATTTCTATTTGCATCTGTTTTATGGAATCCAGTTCTTTTCTATTGTTGGGCATTTGTGGTTTCTATGTCTTTCCTAAATGCCTCTATTGGTTTTTTTTTTCTTTCTGTTTTTGCTCTCAGTTCACTAATCACTTCATTATAATCATCATTTCTTTATTTTCTTATTTTTGTCAAGGGACTTATTGATCTGTTTTGCCATTTCTGCTGCTGTCATTTCACAAATTTCACATGGGTTGCTTTTCATTTCTTCCACCTCAGTGCTGCTTTGATTTACCTTAAACCAGTTATCAATTATGGGTTGTATCTTGCTTTTGTGTTTTCTCATTTTTTTAAACATTAGATTTTATTGGTGCATTTTGAATAATATATAATGATCACATCACCACAAAGAATTTGTATCTGCACATGATATAACTTGGGAGTTTTCCCCCATTCTCCTACCTTCCCTTTGACCTCTCTTCCCCTTCCCATTTACAAAGCTTTGTTTCCATGGTTTCTCTCTCTCTCTCTCTCTCTCTCTCTCTCTCTCTCTCTCAAATAAACTTTTTACTTTTCCCTTATTTTCTTTCCCTTCTCCCTCCTCTCTCTTTCTTATTCCCCTCCCCACTTAAACATTTTCCTTCTATTTCAAAATACAGGGCTGGCCAAGTAGCTCAGCAAATTAAAGTGCCTGCAGGCCCAGGGGCCAGGAGTTGATCCCCAGGCCTGCCTGTGGGCCCCGCCCCTGAGGCGCATTGAGATGGCAATTGAGACTGGGCATGGTGGCACATGCCTGTAATCCCAGCACTTAGGAGGCTGTAAACAGGCAGATCACTATGAGTCTGATCTAGTAGTGAGACCTTGAACACCCTGTAGACCCTTCCCTAAAATACAAAAATAAAAATAAAAACAAATATATTTTGGGCCTTAGTTATACTTTTGGTTTCTCATACTAGAAAAACAATGCTGTATTTTTCACGCACATATCTGATGTATTTCCCTTAAGAGTATAGATGCAAGGTGCACCAGTTTTCCTAGAAATTTCTCTAGTGTATCTTTACAGCAGAGCAGCGCTTCATTATATAAAAAATCCACACACACACACACACACACACACATGCAATCTCCTTTATCCATTCACTAGTCGATGGGCCCTCGGCTCATTTTCTATTCTGCTGTTGTTCTTTGTTTTATACATTAAGGCTTGTAAATTGATTATGGCAAGTGCCTTTAGAGACTTTCTTTTTCTTTTTTAGTTGCTCTTTCTCTTCTTCCCAAGTAGGCCTGGGCCAATTCAGATAATCGTGGATTGTTAGCCCTGCAGACTGGATTGGACTTCTTGAGCTGGCCATTGCTACTGGATTCATGTAGGCGACATGACTGTCTTGTTTCCACATGGTGCTGGACAGAGCACACAGTCAGACTGCCAAAGCCAGACCAGGCCGCAGAAGCAGCTGAGCTGGGCCTGCCGCAGGTCCTTCTCCGGGTGTCCTTATTGCCAGTATTAAGAGCTCTTTACAAATGACTACTTTTGGAGATGTCTTCTAGGCATCGCTGGCATGGACTTCTGAGTCTGTCCCAGGATCCTTCATCTTTAATTTATTAGGTATGCACAGTTGCTGCCTCTTCGCCCCTTACAAAACTGATGAAAAAGAGAAGAGGGAGAAAAAGAAGGAGAAAAAAAAAAAGAACAAAACAAAATAAAAAAACTAAAAACAATATTCATGCTCACAAAAACCAAAATCACCTGGGTGCTTCATGCTGGCTCTGGAATGGGGCCTGGTGGCGCACGTCTGTAATGCCAACATTAGGGAGGCCGAGACAGGAGGATCACTACAAGTCCAAACTGCGTAGTAAGACCTTGTATCAAAAAAATAAAATAGGGCCATGAAGATAGCTCAGTAGCCGGAGTTCAATCCCTGGTTCCACAAAAGAAAGAAAGAAAGAAAGAAAGAAAGTAAGAAAGAAAGAAAGAAAGAAAGAAAGAAAGAAAGAAAGAAAGAACCAAAAACAGGCAATTAAAAAAATACAGACAATTAAAAAATATGACTGGCTGGCCAAATAGCTCAGCGGATTAATGTACCTGCAAGCAGGCGCAGGGGCCAGGGGTTTGACCCTCGAGCCTGCTGTGCTGACCCTGCCCCAGGGGTGTGCTGAGACAGTGATTGAGACTGGGTGTGGTGGCGCATGCCTGTAATCCCAGCACTTGGGAGGCTATAAAACACACAGATCACTGTGAGTCCAATCTAGTAGTGAGACCCTGAACACCCTGTAGACCCTTCCCTAAAATACAGGAAAAAAAAAACCCTAACCACACACACACACACACACACACACACACACACACACACACAGAGTCCACAAGCAATGGGGGGAAGAAGAAAAGAAATTTCTCTGTAATTTCAAGCCTGTGGCTATCTTCTGGGGCCTGTAGTTTTGTAGTCATGTCTGATTCAGGATGTGACTCTGCTTTCATTATTAGACTAAGAAAGCAATCAGATCTGTTCTGAATGATCCCAGCAAGCCTGAGGTAGCATTAGGGCAGGGTCCTGGTTCTGGTACTTCCAAATCCAGTTAGGCTGATCCTGGCCTCTGGTTGTGCAGTTGGGGCCTCAATCATTCAACACCCTGGGCGTCGCCTGCTGCCCTGACTGTAGCTCCCTGACCCTCGACGTCTCCTACAGGTATTCCTCACCCAGTCACAGTGAGTTTTCAACTCTGAGAGTCCTGAGATGAAACCAACCCACAGCTTCTCCAAGTTCTAGGTTCAGTGGGCCCCTCCCTACATGCAGCATGACCAAGCACTGTCTCCAGGGCACAGTCACCAGGACTGGAGCTACTCACCAGCTGCTGTAGCAGACAGCGTACACTGCTCTGTTCCACTGGGGTGTTTCTCCCTGAAGCCTGGAGCCACCTACCCTCACCGTGTCCCTGTCGATTCACTCTTCTTTGCTCACACCATGAGCCAGGAGCTGGTGTGAGAAAGTGCAGACTACCCCTTCCTGTTTCTGTGTTGAGCTCTGTCTCTCCACTTTCTCTGTGGTCCCCAATCTTCCTTCAGATCCTTCCTGGATTCCAGGGATCCATCTCCCTCCTTCTTTCCTTTCCCAGGTTCTCATGTTCCAGCGTCTGGATTCCAAATCTTTGAGAATTGAATTTTTGTTGTTTACTACTCAGCCATCTCCTCAGAAATCATCTGTTTTGTTTTTTCTGTGGTTAGGAATTGAATTTGTAGCCTCATACATGCTAAGCATGTACTTTTATCACAGAGCTCTACCTCTAACCTCTGGGTGGGTCAATTTTTATCCATCGTGCTGGACATCTTCAATTAGGAAGTGCCCTTTAATCAGGAATTGCATGATCCTCGGGCTGAGAAGTGCCTTGAACTCTCAGTGATAACATCATCCCTTCAATTTGCTGCCATGTCCTTCTGGTTCCAGAAAAACGATACCAGACCTGGACTAATCCTCTCATTTTCAAGACATCTTTTTCTCGATTACATCTTGTCTTCTTTCCCTCTTTTCATCCAACTTTTAGACAATTTCATTCGCCTCCTATTTTTCCCCACTTTTTAATCTCTAACTGCTCTTTTTTTCTCTGAAGACTCATTTTAATACCACCTTACTCTTGTTTCAGTCAGCATATCATCTTTTTCTGTGAGGATTTTTATGTGAAGAGAGCACTTTCTCTGAAGAGTTTAATCAGTCTTTTTGTCATATCATTGTTTTTTCTTCCTCTATAGTCTAAATTTCTTCTCAGGATCTTTTTGCTTGTTCATTCTGCTATCTATCTTTTTCATGTTAAAGATTTTCCTCAGAATGCTTAAAAATCCTTGGTTACCTTTTCATGCTAAGGCCAAAAAGCTGATAAAAAATAAAACACTGATTAAAAAACAAATTTATATGCAAAAAATAGATAAGAATGAACTTTTAAAAAGAATAAGCTTTAGGGGGGCTGGGGAGATAGCTCAGTAGGATAAGTGCTTGTCTGGCAAGTGCAGGGTCCTGAGTTCAATCCCCGATACCAAAAAAAAAAAAAAGAATAAGTTTTGAAGCTGTTTTAATTTATTTAATATAAATTTAAAACTTTGAGTTCTATTGAACTAATGTTTCTGAATGTGCTTATTGTTCTTATTGTTTTCCAAAATGTCCTCCCAGTTATTGCATATCTTATCTGAGATATAGGAAATACCTAACGCTACAAATATAATAGTAACCTTCATTAAGGAAAGGGACACTAATATCACCAATTTTACATGTCATTATCTTCACAGTAGCTGCCTTGTTTTTGCTGAAAAAACAGCTGATTTTAAAACAAATTCCCAAGAGGATAACATTAAATTATACATATATAATTACATGGTTATAATGCAGAACCTAAAATTTAGAAAAAAACAAAGACACAGTAGTGTAATTTCAGCCTAACTCCTTAGTCATTTGGAAGCTTGTCACAGAGTGGCAGGATAAAGCAGGGGGGAAAATGAATTTTAATGTTGTGACAAATATAAATCTGAACCTTAAAGAAAAAAGTATGATAGGAATTCTGAGGGCAAAGGTGTGCTTTGGCAACCCTAAGCAGTAGCATGCAGTGGTGTTTCACATGCAAAACCAGAAGCCAGCATCTTTAAATCCCCTCTTGAGGCTAGCCAGTGTCATGGCGGTGGAATGCCCAGCACCCTGGCACTGGCAGCGCCGGAGGCCTGTAAGATCTCAGCACCAGCGGAGTACCAAGTCCCTTCTCTTTTGTACAGTACTTTTGCCTCACCTCTGCCCACTATGCCCCGAAACAGTGGTAGAAATGTTCTTGGTATCTATTAATTTTGAACCAATCCTCCTTACTGTAGTCTTTTTCTCATCTCTAATCAATCTAATGTCACCATGTCCTAGGTGGAGAGTGATTTACTGCAGAGTAAGTCAAGGGAGTTTTCAGCTGTTCTCATGACCAGCTTATATTTATTTCTCTATTGTTGAATCTGCAAGGCCTTTTACCATCTATCTTTATGATTCCCAGCTTATAAAACTATACTGCTGCTGAATCCTATTTTTTTATATGTTGGGGTTGATGCCTTTTTTTATGTATCCATTTAAGTGCTGTCTTAATTAAGTTTTGATAGAGATGCAAAGTAGATGCGTGTATTTTGCCTGCCACTTTTACCCCGCAATGACATCTCCCAGGACTCTAAACCTTCAGCTAAAACAGCAGAGATTGGATGTTTCAGGGACTTTAGCACATTATTCCTGTACTTATATGGCGCTTGATTCTGTTAACAGCTTTCTCCTTAAAATACCTCAGTGAAATAGCAAACCCCAGACAGCTAGGGCAGGGGACATGATACACCATTAAGGAGTGCACTTTCTCTGCATAAAGTAACTGATTAAAATTCAGCCTGCCTTTTATTATCACCATGCAGCAATTCAGAACTATGCCAGTGATAAAATTCTTCTTTCTACAAACATCTTTTGTTAATCTAGGTTGAAATAATTGCTGTGGTCAGTGTTCATTTTTAATAGTCATATGTGTAAGCTGCACTGTGGTACATTCAGTCTCTCCTATAATTAACAAGGTCATTACATCAGGAAACCCTAAGTTACCCTGCCCAGTTGCCCAGGCCATGTCTCTCCACAGGGAGACCTGGTCATGTGCATTTGCTTTCAGAACAAGTCTGAAATGGTCCAGAACTGTCTAGGTTCACTGAGGCACAGTATGTGCTCCCAACCACCAAGTTACCACCATCTCTGAAGAAATAAGGATTTGAGGCTGAGGAGATAGCTCACAGAATAAGTGCTTGCCTGGCAAGCACAAGGTCCTAAGTTCAATCCCCGGTACCACAAAAAATAAATAAAAATAAGAATTTGACATAAACAGTAATAATATCCATCTTAGTCTCTTCCCTCACGCTGGACAAAATACCCAAACATTGCAACTTAAAGGAGGAGAGGTTTCTTGGCTCAAGGTGTTAGTCCATACTTGCCCAGCCCCAGCACAGAAATGGCCTGGTGGAAGGGCCTGGTCTGAGGAAAGCTGCACCTGTCCAGGTGGCCCAGAAGCAGAGAGCAAAGAGAGGAAGGACTTGGCTTCCACGGAGGAAGAGCCATCTGCCTTTCCAGGCCACACCCCAGGGACCACCTCCTAAAAGCAAAGTCACTTCTGGTGCCCACCTATTCAGCCACCTTTCACAACCTCCTCCTGTGATGGCATGAGGATTTGGGCACTTCAAACTATAGCAGCAAAACTGTAGAATGACCCACTTGATTCACACTGTAACAGCACCTTCTGTGAAGACAAAGCAACAGAACCAACATTACTGTAGTACTGTCATCTATCTTCAACTCATTCTCTTCACTCTTTTGGAAATATTTTTCCAGATGATTTCCCTCCAATAGATTAATATAATTTCAAAGTATCAATCCATTATTTTTTTTCTTGTTCTGTACTGTGAATTTTGTTTTCATTTTTAAAAGATTTTACTAGTCTAGTTATAGAAATAAATTCTATAAAAAATCTTTTCATTCAATAAAAAATGTTCGTTTTCTTCCTCTTTGCAGAGTATTAGCATCACTGTGTGTCTGAAGGCACCTGCTCCAGGCTTTGTTACAAACTCCAGTGTTTCCACCAGCCTCAACTAGCCTTGCTAGCCCATTCACACCCAGTGAGGGCTTCGCCTTCTGCCAACTCCTGAAGGCTGAGCTTTCTTAAGGGCTGGTTATGAGTTCTCTTTTGCCTTTTACACCAAATTCCAGTGTAGTTTAACTCATTTTTGTGGCTCTTTGGTTGAGCACCTCCAAACCAGACCCATAGCCAACTTCTAAGTTTAATACCCATAGCCAACTGCCTAACAACATCTCAATTTCCAAGTCTTACAAAATCCAACTTTGCTCAGTACATTCAAAACCCAGCCCTTGACTTCCAGATGGTTAATTATGGCATAATTTGGTACAAAGGAGAAAAGCAGCCAACTCTATACAGGAGAGTTAATAACAGCTTGTGTATGTTAGCCAAAGGAAGCAGCAGTGGATAACTAGGCTGAATGTTGTTGTGGCAATTAAAACTCATTATCCCAGGGCTAGCAGTATAGCTCAGCACACTAAAGCGCCCACTTAGGCAAGTTTAGGCAAGCACAGGAACCATGGTTCAATCCCTTGCACCACATGCCACACCAGCCCTGCCCCAAGGGCAGGCTGAGCCAGGCAGAGTCCAGGTGTAGTGGCACAGGCCTGTAATCCCAGCACTAGGGACGCTGAAAGCAGGAGGATCACCATGAGTCCAAGCTGTGTGGTAAGTCCCTGTAACAACCAAATACATTAAAAAAAAAAAAAACAAACCCAAAAAACAAAAAACCAACAACAACAACCCTCATTATCCCTTGCCTGATTCCTGAATCTATGCCAGATTTTATACCAGGACCTATTAACTAAAGAATCCATAGTGTCCCCAGGAGGAAGGACTTGGAGATCCAGAAGTAGAAATACACAGCAGGTCCTGGGAGGAAGTATGATCAAGAGCATAGGTCTTGGGCCAGGGAGATAGCTCAGCTGTCTAAGCACCTGCCTGGCAAGTGCAAGGACTCAGATTCGATCCCTGGCCCCGCATGCCCAGCCCCTGAAACCAGGTGGTGGCACATTCCACAGGAGGATCACTATGAGTCCGAGCTGCGTAGCAAGGCCCTGCACAAAATACATAAAAAGATTTTTTAAATTAAAAAAAAAAAAAGAGCACAGGGCCTTGTAACGATGCTGCAATTAGGAATCTAGTAATTAGTGGAATGTTGAGACACCACAGCAAATTAAACACATGCATGCATGAGTGCGTGCACACACACACACACACACACACACACACACGCACACAGAGTTTAATATATCTTGCATTTCCTACCACAGAGGAGGAAATTCATTGCCTTTTAGGCCTCTTTGGTCCCCAGAGGCAACACATTCTATGTCAGGGATGCCATTTAGGCTGCCACAAAAAGATGCTGACTGTGAGAGGCGCTGGGTACAGGCAGAAACTTCTCAGCAGGCCCTGAACATAGTATAAGCAGCCAGGCCACTGGGCCATAGTTACTGGATAGACCTTATGGCCCAGTGAAAATGTTATCATGTTGGATTAATGGTAAGCGCCAAGAAATACAACATGGACCAGGCCCTGGAACTCTAGAACAAAGCCAGACTATATGCAACAGAAAGTTATTCACTATATTAGAAACTACTCTTGGCAGTTCCTGAACCCTGGTGGAGAGTAGAGAATTACACAAGGGGTTCCAGGTTAGCACATACCCAGAACTATCAGTCGTGAGTTCAGTGTATCAGATCTAACAAGGCAGGAGGTCTGGCAGGTCCAGAGGCATCCACATAGATGGAAATGGTAGACACAACATTGAGTTGGAGCAGGACAGAGGACACAAGTCAGCTTAATACACAGGTGGCCCACACCCCCATTCCATCAGCCTCCACGGCTGCACCAATGTCCCGTGGCTCAGCAAGGGGCCCAAATGACAAGCTGAGGGAAGAAGAAATAGCCAAGCTACAGTTATAGATTATCTGGCATAGTTTAGGGTTCAGGCTGAAAATGAACAACAGCAGCTGTATCACAGCCACACTGAAGGATGACTTTGGAAGACAATGGTGAAGTTTTCCTAATGGGCAGAGCTTCAGGTGATGTACTCAGCTATGTGCTTTCTTGTGAAGGAAAAGTGGCTCATGAAACATTGGTCAGCACCATTACCTAGGGGCTTGAGGTTTGCTTAATCCTCAGGTGTGGAGTCCTATGTAACAGGCCACTAGGAAAAGTGCACTGGCACACCACATACCCTACCATCCTGGGCCAGGCTCCCTGCTGAGACTGGAATTGGAGGAAAACACAAGAATAGAGTGCCACCCTCCAGAAGGCAAAGGTGCACCACACCAGAGATATTGCCTCTGTCCCATGAGAAAAAAATCCTAGTCTGGCAATTATTGCACAGCAGTGGAGCGGGCCTGCTGACCATCCCTCTTAACTGCGCCTGGTGGACAGCCTCTATGCTTCCTGTCTTCACAGCGCCTGCAGCCAGAAATTCTCCCCACAAAAAGCAATGTACCTTTGTCAAGGCACACAACTATCCAACTCAACTAAAAGAGAAGCCTTCTACCTGAGCACTCTGGGCGCCATGTGCCATTTTGGCAGGACACCTGATCCAGCCCAGCAGGAGAAGGTACACGTGCTGTGGCCCAGGGAGCACATCAGGAATTGAGATGCCTCTGGGTCCTCCCTCAGCCGTGGTGACTGTGACCTGGCCAGTCAGCCCCAGAAAACTACAGTGCTCAGACTCTCAGGAGTGAGAGTTTCTGTCACCCAACCAGATGAGCCACTAAGACCTGCAGAAATGATAGTGAGGTCCACTTAGTACCTGTGGACTTAAGGAAGGCTGGGCAGGACGGCCGAAACGAACAGCCCCGGACAGGTCACGGATCCCCAGATTCTCTCTGTGCTGCTCACCGTGCCTGAGCAACAGTCTCTCAGTAAAGTGCGCAACGGGTTGTTTTTATTTTTGACTTGAGCACTGAAGGTTTTTAATATCCTATGCTCTGCTTGAACTTGCCAGCAAAATGTTTCTCAGCTCATCAAAAAACAAGTTCCATTCACATTCAGGGGACACCGGTCTCTCCCAGCGTGGCAGTGACCCCACCGCCCACGGCCCGGCCCGCCCACTGCTCACCGCCTCCTAGCTTCCACGCGCGCCGCGATGCGGAGGCGCCTGGCCTGGATCCGCTCCTGCGGGTCGTCGGAATGGATCGAGGGCCCGTGAATAGGGTTAGATAAGGCTTGGTCCGCATTGTGCTCCGGCACCCCTACGGACCCTGGCGGATTCATGGCAGGAACCTCTCGCTCTGCAGCTCCCCTCAGACCGCAGCGCGGTTGCTGGTTACTAGCCGTTGCCAGGGAAACGTGGTCACCAGACCTGCAACCCGGCAGGTCGCGTGAGAGGCTCTGCAGGCCCCGCCCAGCGCTGCTCAGAACTTTGCCTTTCTGCTTTTGGGCAGTGGAGAAGGGCCCTCTGCACTGACCCCGTAAGAGGCCTAGTCGTGAGCAGAGGTTGGATTCTCACCGCAGGAGTAGAAGATTAAAGAGGTCGACCATGTTGTAGTTCATCACTTTATTGACTCTACTGATTAATTTATTATTCACCAAGTGAATATTACCGATAATCATAGGTATCAAATGCAATTGAACGCCTACTATATGCGAAGCTCTGTGCTAGACAAGGATACCGCTGATGCCTTTCCCTCACGAAGGGTACAGAACAGGTTCGCACAAGGGCCTATGGCTTGAGAGGTATACATATGCAGTATATTGCATCTACCCCGTTATTGAGTTTTGAGCTCCTACTCGATGTGTCTGGCCCCTTTCTCCTTTAGGAGGTGAAACTTGTCGTCCATGGGCTTCTATCGAAGGACTGTTATCTTCTTGTACCTGTTTTCGGTAAGGCTGAATCAAAGCAATCCCATCCCTATCTGCAACTTTAAAGAAGAAAGAGAAGCTGAGGAAAGTGCTATGAGGTGGAGGTTAGGAGTACAGACATCTATGAAACTCTCCCAGACGCAGTGTTGACTTCTAGGTATGTTTGCTATCTTGGGTTTATATAATTGGAAGAGTAATTGAGGCCACATACCATTACAAGAGTGGTGTTGGCCAGAATATTCTATCCATTAGTAATACACTATGTTTGAGTGTGAACAATTGACATACAGTTCCTTCTATGAAGACTTAAGATGTGAACCATAAAGTAAAATCCAGTAAAAGCAAAAAGATGCTTAATTCAAAAATATCCAGTTAGATATTTTATTGAGTGATTAGGTTTGTTGTACCAATTTTTAATGATTTTCAAGTTGCTCTGAAACCAACCATTAGATTGGGCAGATTATGTTCCGTGCTTCTGCATGTGTTTGTGTAACTTTGCAATAAACCTTCATCACTCAAAACATCAATACTTTTGCACTACGTGACCTGAAAATTGCAAAGTGATATGTCCTTTGTTGTGATTCTAACTTTCAAAGCTATTATGTATTCATTTCTCATTTTTCTGAATGTCAGTGTTTTTTTCACATTCCATTTGATAGATTTACAGTGTTACATAGAGAAAGAGATTATATTCCTGGTCCTCATATCTCCAGGAAGACACTACTTCCTGCGCATGTTTTTCCTGTTGCTGTTGTTTTTATTTGAGAGTTTCACCCTAGTCCAGACTGGCCATGACCAATACTAATCTTTTTTTTTTTTTTTTTTTTTTTTGTGGAACTGGGGATTGAACTCAGGCCCTTGCGCTTCCCAGACACTTATTCTACTAAACTATCTCCCTCGCCCCTCAATACTAATCTTGAATTTGGGATTATCTTGCCTCAACCTTTTGAGTGCTTGGATTAGAGGAATGTGCCATACACCCTTGCCAACAAAAATAAGAATTAAAACCTTTTAAACCAGACCTGGTGGAGGTCTGTAATCCCAGCACTCTGGAAGGCTGAGGCAGGAGAATTTGAACCCAGTCAAAGCAACCAAAAAGATTTAGTAAGACTGTCTCAAAATTTAAGAAAAAAGGCTGGGAATGTAGTTGTGTGTGGAGGCCCTGGTTCACTCCCCAGTAACACAAAAGAACACAAATAAAGGCTTCAAGCCAAACAGAAAGGCTGGGGATGTGACTCACTATTGAAGTGCCTGCCTTGTATACACAAAAAACAACAGAAAGGAAAAAACTGCGGAACTTTTGACAGGGCCTTATCCCCTTAGAAATGGAGCAAGACAGTGGATGAGTAATGAACAAGAGCTCACTCTAGTCCTAGAACTTGGGCAAGTACCAAGTTCTTGAAGACTATTTTCTGAACCATTAAGTGGTACTTTCCATCTATTCAACTCATAATCAAGCCAATATAAGCCCAAAGACCTACCCGAGGGCAACTGGAGTGCATTTCTAATTTTTTTCAAGTGTGCAAGTGGTAGAGAACATGGAACAGCTTTTACCGAAACCCAGCTGCTGCCTGAATTCTGTCCTAAGCCTGGCTTGGGGGTCGAGGTGGGAGTCACTTGCTTTAGAACCCTTTGCCAACAGCTTTCCTTTGGTTGTAACTCAACATTAATCTTTTTTTTTTTTTTTTTTTTTTTTGTATGTTAGGCAAAGATCTACAGGGTGTTCTGGGTCTCACTACTAGATTGGACTCACAGTGATATGCCTATTTAAAGCCTCCCAAGTGCTGGGATTACAGGCGTGTGCCACCTCACCCAGTCTCAATTGCCATCTTAGCTCACCCTGGGGGCAGGGCAAGCAGGCCATAAGGCATGGGGATTTGAACCTCAGCCCCTGCACCTGCTTGCAGGCGCTTTAATCCACTGAGCTATTTGGCTGGCCCTAACATTACATTAATCTTTCTAGAAGTCAAAGAATCCGAGGGCCAGGCACAGCTCTGACTACAATTGTGTCAGCCTCTGGTCCACATTCCCACCGTCCATAGACACAGGTATGCATATGTGCATGGATCTATTGTAGCTCTTCAAGGTTGGAATTACCAGTTTTATCCAACACTGTACACAAAACACTGTACACAGTATCTTGTATGTACTACATGCCTAACAAACATTTGTTAAAAGAACTGTACAGACAGAACTGTATGCCTACTCATTACTTATATTTAAAAACTGACTAGGGCAGTTTTAAGGCATTCATGGAATGAAATACAATTTATGAATAAATCTGACCCTACTTTTATTTGAAATACAGAATGTACATAAGAAAAACAAGAGGAAGACCAAGTAACTCTTATCTTAGGCATATGGCCTGACTTTATGACTTCTACATTCCTTATTCATAACATAAATCATCTTGACTTAGTAAAAATTACTTTACTTACATGGCTTTTGCTTTGTTCTGAGAAGGTCTTTCACTATGCAGCCCACCTACCCTTCAACTTACGATCCCAGCCCTCCCAGTGTTAGGATTATAGAGATGTACCACATCTGGCTCAGTTTTGTAAAATGAAAGTAACAGACCCAAACAGACTGAGACAGGCAAGTGCAAGGCTGCCACCACTGAGGGACTTAAGGACGACACATAGGGAATATTCACCCTGATGACTCACCAGCATTGAGTCCACTCAGGTGGCATGCAATACTCCAAAAGCAGATGTTTCGAGAACGAACTTATACTAATAAGCTCAGAGAAAATGCACATAAGGGAATTTATTAATTTTAGCAAGAAACTACAACCACTACTAAGGGCAGTGTTCATCCCTGTTGATCGAGCTACCACGGAAACCAAGCTATAACTGGTTCCTGCATAAAAAGGGTTGTGATGACTGCAGGATCCCTGGGGATAACTTGCCACAAAGAATAAATGGTTTGAGTCCTTGGGGATGGCACTCCCATCCCTGAGTAGGCTTGCAGTGATAAACACACAATCATCTGGCTGCATGAACTCCTTTTGCTAGGCTAAGGCTGGCCATCTACTAACAGTTCATATGGTCATCCCTTAAAAAGAAATACAATGATTAGATTTTATCTAACATGTCACACTTAATTCTACAACCATTAGTTTATATAACATGTTTGGGGATGCTGGAAAATTTATAAAGCATTTAAGTAACTTCTTGATTTATTTTCTCCCAATTTGTGAGAACGTTCCTGGAGTCTCAGAGGGCAATCTTGTTTTATTCAATTTTAGTAATCTTTGGAACTGTCTCACCATTATTTTCAGAAAGGAAGAAACAGACAGCAGAGTGAGGAGTTGTGCCTTATGGCTTAAAAAAAAGCTCAAAGGTAAAAACAGAACTAGATATTAGAAACCAAGCACTAACCATGATACTGCTGAGCAGGAGCAGACTGAACACGGACTGACTTCTCTGACCCATAAATCAAATAAACCTCTCCTCCTTTTAAAAACAAGAGTCAGCCCAATAGCTCAGCAGATTAAAGCAGGTTTGATCCCTAGGCCTGCCTGCTGGCCCCACCCCCAGGGTGTGCGGGATTACAGGCATGTTGGTACATGCCTATAATCCCAGCTCTTGGGATGCTGTAAACAGGAGAATCACTAGAGTCCGACCTAGTAGTGAGACCCTGAACACCCTGTAGACCCTTCCCTAAAATACAGAATTAAAAAAAAAAAAAAAAAAAAGCCTTTGCCTTAAACCATTCACTGTTAAAAACACTCTACAACTATTATTCTCATTCAGTCCTCATAATGCCTAATAACTAGGCTAATATTAATCATATTTTACAGTTGAGATAATTCAGGTCTAGTGGGAAAGACTCAACTTTCTCTCAATCAAAGTTTAAAACAAGAAATATTCATTAATTGGGAGGTCTGAAACTCAAGGAAAAAAAGGGGGGGGCGACAGTTTTAAGAAATTTGTGAGCAGAGGGATGAAGATGTGAGCAGGAAGACATTTGGGGGACACTGTATCTGTGAGTTCTGGTAGATCTGCAGAATGCCAGGAACCTGCTAAGTGCCTGAGGAATACAGGCAAATGGTGGGTGTGACACCAGGGCAACCTAGAGGAACTGCAGCGCAGCTGGGGAGCTGGCCTGGGTTGAGCCATGGGGCATTTGCTTCCTTAGCTTCAAACCTGATACCGAAAAAATATACAGCCAGAGGTGTGGAATACATTGTTATAAAAATAAAAATATTCTTCTTAGAAGCAAATTTAGATGAGTCCTGCTTTATATATTCTAAGTGTATGTACTCTATGAATATTTAACATACTGTAAGTATGCTGGGTGTGAATCAATAGTTTCTGTGGAAAGCAAAGCCTGGAATTTTAGCTTGAACAGTCTAGAAAACTAATGTCCTATGTTAATATTCTTACTATGGCAAAATGCTTGTGAGAATGCACCCCCACCAACTTGCAAACTAATTTAAGTGTGACCCAGTTACTAAAAGGAATACACACACAAACTGAAAAATATGGGGAATGTTTAGATTTTAAAAATCTTGCTTTGCCAACAATGGTGGAATAAGTGTGTTCAAGGAAAGAAGAAGTACTTTAAAGTATTCTGGGTATTCTGAAGGGGATTTAGTGACAAAATTACTTTTGCTGTAATAAATTTTCTTAAGTTTAAATGTTCACAACAGTATTTGGCCCTCCTCACATATACAGTTGCATTTATGGGGGAGTCTAGAGAGCTGTACTCCAAGTAGCTTTTTTTTTGGAGACAAGTTCTCACTATGCAGTTCAGGTTGGACTTAAACTCTCTGATGTAGGCCAAGTTGGCCTCAAACTCTCAGTGATCTTCCTGCCTCAGCCTTACAAATAGTTATTAATGCCACCTCTCTCATGGTGTTTTCTAAAGTAAGTCACAGGATCATAGAACACCCAAGAGGAAGCAGGCTAATCTTTCCAAACTGCAAAGACAAAAAAAAAAAAAAAAAAAAGAACAACTCTTTACTGTTTTGCTTTACAGTAATCAGTGCTTCTAAGACAGATGGCTGAACATTACTTTTCCCCTTTGGCACCTACCAAAGAAAAACAAAGACAACCTGAAAACAATTAAAAGGACTTAAAAATTATTTACTTTTATTACAATAAATATTTATTGATAAAAGAATTAAACAACTTCAGACTAAAACTTACTGCATTATTTTTGGGGTTCACAGTAGCAGAAATAAACATAAATTCAATTTAAAGGTCAAGATTTCCAGAATCCAGTGATAACAAACAGTCAGGTCTTGAGATATTGGCTAGCAGCAGGGAACAGTAATACAGATAATGCAAAAATAATATTGAAATGCCTGTCGTGCTCTAATATCGTACATCAAGTTATCTGACACTTCACATTCCAGCAAAGTAACTTAAGCAAGTTGCAAAGCTGTTTCTGCATGAGTGGGAGTCCTTCCACGAGCCCCTGGGCACCACAAGTCCAGCAGAGCTGCCCTCTGGTCAGAACTGCGCCCATTACTGTGCAGACCCAGAGGTCTTGGCCCTGGTGGAAGTAGTCATCATTCTTGGAAGCTGTCTTCTGGCTCACAGGATCCCATATTTAAAAAGATGTGGAAGTGACATGTTTAAAGGGCTTCCTCAACAACTGAGATGAACTGGAGGGAAGGCTGTGGCTCTAGATCAGAAGGAACTTTCAAAGTTACAGGCTACATGCACACTAAGTTCACACCAATCCGGTCTAAGAAGCACTTTCCATTTGGCTGATAATCAAGAGTAATCTTTACATACATGGTATCATACATAAGCAGAGAATGTGTTTATGTTAGATATGTATGTATACACAGCACAAATAAACAAATAAAGTATTACATTATTAATGCAGACACAGCAAATCTTAGACCAGTTACTAATACGTGCAGTTAAACTACTTGAAAGGGCAAAGATCTTACTTATGCTCCTCTCCATCTTTCTAATACAGCCTCTATTTGCACCCAGCACGTTCCACCTGCTCCAGTGGAGCTGTTTCTAGGTACCTGAGAAGGAATGGAACTGCTGTCTCATTTCAGAGGAAAAAGCGGACTCTACTAGGGTCAAGTTAAACACCTCAATAATTGACCCGGCTGTGCTTCCTGCTACATAGTCTCAGCGCCGTAAGGTCTCGATCACTTTTACTGAGAAAGTATTAATTTCCTCTTGTGTAAGTAGCCAGAAGTAACCTAAAATGTTAGATGGGAAGGGAAATGAAGAAAGCAGGCAGCTGGGAGTTTCACCTTGGTAATTACTCATTACTTTCTCTTTCAACAGAGGAAATGTTGTATTTTTTTCAAAAATTGCAATGTGGAGCACAACAATAAATTCTGCTTTCTTGGGCTATTTTGAAATGAGCAAATCATTACACATAGCTGGGTCTGTCTCCTAGATGGTTTGTCTGATGAGATTAAGCTGTTTAAACAGCAGTTATTACTCTCAAGTGATAGTGAATGGTAACAGATTTATAATGCAGCATTTACAGATTCTGCAAGATTAAATCAGAATTTTATAACCTGGTAGTAAAATAAAGTATTATCTAAGCACATTATAGGTCAAGTGCTTACTCTCTGGATATTAAAAAATGTTCATTACAAAAATCACAATCTAGAATTCATGGTGAACTGTGGATAATTGGATGAAAACCCAAAATCACTTCTAATTTTAACCGTCACCCTTAGAAACTGCTTGAAAGGATTCTAGCCAAAGAGACAGAAGGCATCCAAGCACCTGAGCCACTCCCCGTGATTTCCATATTGTCTCTGACTTCAATTTTAGTGCCTGTGCTGCCAAAGCAAGCACCGTCTCCAATTTTAGTGCAGCTTTTATGTTCTCTATCGCCACCATCCCCGCTGCATGCTTTCCAAACAGCACTACTCTCACTGAGCCCAGGTTTCTAGGAATGATTCTCTAAAGAGGAAGACAAGGTGAGTACTGTTCAGAAGACCAGACAGTCCTTCTATTGTGTCCAAATGAATTTTCCTAGAGAGATGAACCCTTGTGAAAGTAAAGACAGTTCATGCGACACTTTCCAGTCCTGGGAACTGGGTCTTCCAGATCAAATGCAATACAACCCCCTTGCTCAGGCTACCTGTGAGAGGGATTTCAATGGCAAAACTTCTTTGCTACTCTAAACATGAACTCATTTAAGGTCTGTATAAAGAGCAGATCCCTGCTTACGAACAAAACCCAGCTAGATCACTATCGCTCACATTTTTTTTTATTAAAAAGAAAAGCATATTACTAGCATGCAGTTTAAAAAATAAAGTTACATTTATTTTGCACCATATAAACACTGGAAATGAATCAGCCCACAAATCCAATTCCCACAGCTCTATGCAAGGGAAAGGCAGACACATTGCCATTTCTGTGGAAGCAAGACAACCATGATTTACCATATACTGTACTTGGAATTGCCAGCCATTAGGCCAATTACTTGTACCACTGTCAAAGATGAAAACGAAAATATACAAATCACATGGGTTACATAATTAATAAAGGAAATTCAGAAATTTATGCAAGCTTCTAGAATGCCCAGAGCATCGTTACACTTTCAAGTTTCACAGTGATTAACACCATTTTCCTGTTAAGACTGTCACTTTAAATGTGCATGTCAAAGTGCTTCCAATGCTGCATAGTAGTTAAAGTTCTTCCTGGAAGGTTGTAGTGCTGGCAGCTAACTTAGGAAGGTTATTCACCCATAGGGTGCTCAAGAAAGGGTACACAGCCTTACACAGATTCCTCTCGGGACAAAGAAAATTCTGACTTCACAAATTTCCTATAGAGTGCTGGGTCAAATTCAACTAAGGTCAAGATAAGGCCACTCTGAATACAGGCATCAGCACAACCAGATTTCTCTATCTGCTTCTGGCTTATTTGGGGACCCAAAGTCAAAAGTGTTGGCCAGCCATGGTGGCACACACCCTGTAAAATCAACACTCAGAGGCTGAGGCTGGAGGAACACTGAAAGGTGAGTTACATAGTGAGTTCAAGGCTAGCCTGAACTACATAGTGAGACCATGTCTCAAAAAACACACAAGCAAAAAAAAAACAAAAACAAAAACAAAAACACACAAGCAAACAAAAGTCTGAGCCCATCAGGTTTACCTTGTTCCAGGCCTTAACCAGTCAAGGGATCTAAGGCAATCAGAGATATTTCAATGTGGCAAGACCTCAGAAGTAACAAAGCAAAACCTGAGTGGTCCGTCTATTCTAGGTGGTGCTGTAGTTGAGAGCAAGCTCGGGTTAATGATGAAGAATTACAAATTGGCTTCTAATTGAAAATATAAATGTTTTTTTCATATAAACACCTTCATATTATCTTCATTCTCTATAGGTTAGTCAAAGTCAGTTTTGGAAAGCAAGGTACATTGCAAATGCTTTTGGTTGACTACCAAATAAATTAGTTTTTTTGAGAGCTAAACATAATCAGAACTTCCAAATTTACAAGGTAGTAAGGTGGTCCTTCCTTTCTTTTACGAGGACCCTGTGTATATTCTCCAAAAGCACAGGCCCCGGGTCATAATCAATACTCTTTCGGTGTCTATATAGAACTTGGGTACCTCTAGATGTACACTCCCCTTCCCATGACCTCTATGTAAGAAGGAATGGCACACTGGTAATAGTACCGTAACACCCTAGACCACAATTTAACTTTCTCTTGAAAGTTAGAATGAAAAATACTTCAATCATAATGTTACATGCTAAGGAAGAACATTTAATTTTAAACATGTAATTCACTCTATTATACTTGAAACTAAAATCCCTTAAATATATTTCTTAGTATTTGTGGAAGAAAGACACTTTAAGTTGTGACAATTTCAAACTGTGCATTGCAGCTGGATCATGAATGTTGCAAAGGATCGTGAAAGGCAGCAACAGCACTACTCTGTCCAGGCAGTTTTACATTTTCTCTATCTCATGTCCCTCCTCAAACACAGGGAAATTACTTCTTTCACAAGCCTACAAGGGCATTTTCCATAACAGCCTGAAAAGAAACTCTGTAACTTTGGTTAGCAGCAATGCAAACCGCTAGCCTGGCTAAGGCACTCGACTCTGCAAGCACAGAACACATGCACATAAGCTCCCAACCATGGCACTGCTCCCTACAAGACAGCTCACGGGGTGCCAGGGAGAAGGCTCGGGTATGAACACACTCAACATACCATGCACAGAATGGGTGGGGTGGCACATGGCTATAATCCCAGCACTCAGGAGGCTGAGGCAGGAGGATCGCCACAAGCCTGAGGCAAGTCTGGGCTACACAATGAGTTGAAGGCCAGCCTGAACTACACAGGGAGACCCTGTCTCAAAAAACAAAACCAAACCAAAAGATCATGCATCTGTATTTTGGAAAGAATGTAATAATTGGCCTGACAGAAATGCACAGCACTACTGATGACTGAGTCCGTGTAGGCTGCTGGATAACTATACAACTGAAGTGCTCAAGATGCACAGCTGGGTGGCGGACTAATGAGGAAAAAGCCAGCAGTGTGTCAGCAGTGCGAGCTTCCTTAGCTAACTGCTTGGCTTCGCTTTTCCTTCAGGACAGCCTCTTTTCTTTCATCTAACAGTGCCAATAAAACTAACTCTGGCATACTTTTCCATAGGTAAATCTGTCAAAAAAGTGAGGGTGCAAAACCACTTTCAGATCCACTTGATGCAACAAAAAGAAATACGCTGGGAAGTAAATGAGCTCCAAAATTGCAGGACATGATCCTAATGCCAGAATTAAAGTGGATTTTTTTTTTCTTTACTACACTGTTCAATGTGAAGAAAGTCAGTGGTCCATATCTGTCATTTTACAAATACCAGGTTTTATCTCATTCTTGTGCATAAGGTCAGTAAAACAGTAAAAAGATTATCTGAGAAACCTTAAAAACAAAATTCTTCCCTATGCCAAATTAATTGATCCAGGCGAATTTTACAGATGACAAAACAGGTATATACAAAATAGTTGGCTTCCCTTAATTGGTTCGTCCTCTGACTTCTGTGATGGCAACTTGTTAACAAACACGGAAGACTATCATACTTCTCTGCATTAATTTTTCACTATTTTCAGTGTTCATTTTTGTCTCTGAGAAAGTCCCCCAAAACAATCAAGTCTTTACAAATAATTTCTCAAAATAAGTATGAAACCATGACCTGGCACCTTGGTTGATTCCTAATAACCTTAATAACAATGATTAGAATTTTAAAAAAATTTTAAATAGGAAATATCAATGACAGTTATTTTTTTTACAAAGCAACAGACTGAAATTCAACAAAGGAATACACTATAATATTTAACAATGCTCACATCATAAATAATGGTTAAGAATTTAATTACATATCAACACAGTAGTGCCTATTTTATCCAAGTGCAACCTGTCCAAAAAAAAAAGGGTTTAAGATACACTCTTCATTCAAGCACAAACTTCATTCACTGGAAAAATAAAATCAGCAAGTAAATTTCACCCTCACCATACTAAATGAAGACAAAAATCAAAACAGAAGAAAATACCCACATTCATAAAAAGATGTGATTAATCAAACAACCACAATAAAATTAAAGGGATTATATTTCTGTAAACCTCCAAAATTACTCTAACCATATTAAGGAGTTGGTACTCAGTAAGGCAGATACTAATTTTGTTCAAATGGGAAAGAAGACAAGATGGAGAAGAGGGAAAGTCTCTCTGTATGAAATAAAAACACAGGTCCTCACTCCCCCAAAAGGAGAGTGAAAGAAAGCAGGGAAGGACAGATAGATAAACTGAGTCAGAAAACTAATTTTGCTCATAGTGAAATTCATGAGATTCCAGACTCCAAATTAAATTTCCTCTTATAAGGTGCTTTATCTGCATGCTTCACAAGTAATTATCACAAGACTAGAACTGTCACAGACATTCTCACGATCATAGTTCACAGGCACCAAATCCCAACAACCTGCAGTTGAGGGAGCAAAATGCCATATCAAACTGAGCTATGCCAAAGGAGGAGCTGCAATTAAAATCTATTCGCTACTGAAAAGAAATTTCTCTTTAAAAGCAAACTAAACCTTTCATCAAGATCTGTTCCATAATTAAGAGACCCAGAATACTAGGCAATCTCTCCTACCAGGTAAGGACAAAGGCATTTGCACAGGAAAGAGAAACAGATTTGGCAACTGTATATTGCTCTGTAATCATTGGCATCTCCAGCTGAAAAGTGACTTGTTTTTATCTTTTCCTATATTAGATTTGGGCTACTGATAATTACCATAGCTAAAGACCTGTCATAAAATATCAAATATGAAAACAAACTGTAATTTTTCTGAGTATTACTAGTTTCTAAACCAATTTTGGGTTTTAAAAATGAAAATAAAGCATACTTAACTTTATAAGCCAAAACATTATGGACTCATGAGATTAAAATCACCAGGAACATGTCTGCTGATCTCATGCATGTACATTACACTTAACCAAAATGTCACATGGTTTTATAAAAACAGTAAAATTAAATAAGCTGGGAGTTAGAAGGTCCAAAATTCCAGAAGTTCAGGCCATGTTTCATCCTGTTGTCCAAGTACCACGTAAACTGAGATCCCATGTCTGTCACACAGACCAGATTAGTTCAATGGTGATGGATGAAATATTTACACACATCTATTTACAGTACTTCTTCCTGAAGATTACAGGCCAATATTCTTTTCTTCCATTCCTAGTCAATCTGAGTTTGGTTTCCTCAATGAGAAGGGGTAAATCTGAAAATGGCTACTTAGCTGCTTAACCTATGGAAAACCAGAACACAATACAGTGACAAACATGGACCTTACTACTTTTTAAAGCATAAAGAATTCACTCTCTGGAAACAACAATTTATTGACACAGCAAAAATCACCCAAAATAATGAAGAGGTCTGCTGGATTAGAACAGCTAAAAAGCTAGACAACTAGATAAATGGCAATACTGGAACTACTTTGGGAGAGTTAAGCTCTGCCTAACTCTAAAGTCTAATCTTTCCAGAGTCTGCTAGACCAAAAATATTCGCATTCAAATCTATTGAAAACCTCCTGTAATATCTAATTTGTAAGTTAGATTCAATATTCAGCTTGTTGAAACAATTCTAAACAATCATTCCCAATGCTAGTGAAATAGTCTAGAACTAGATGTGTCAATGTGGAGAAGATGGATTGGGGTAAGGGAGCTCTACTGGGGAGTCAAGAACTTAGTTATGTGCCAGTAAGAGATGCCACTTGATGACTGATCTGTAAATTCTTTCTTCATTTTTATTTTGGACAATTTTTATTGCTATATTCATTTAGGTTTGTAAATAATTTATTTTCAATTTGTAATCTATTAAAAAAATTAAAATAATTTTTTTTTTTTTTTTAAAAAGACAGATTCCACTTGACACTTATTACTGTTTCTATTTCAGTAGTTTAAGTGAATGTTTTGTGTGGTCTAGGAAATTTCACCTTCTGATTAAAACTTAAGAGTTTCTGCTGAGCGAGAAGTAAAATCTCAAATAATATAAAAGCCTTCCCTTAATCTGAAATTCTAACCTTCCTTATTACACTGCAGGGAAGGAAATGATACTAAAGCAATTTCTTTATAAATTAAGTTAATGTGCCATAACAATATCCTTATAGCTAAAGAGAAGAATTGGATAACAAATAAGATTATCCAGTCCCACATAATTAAAAAGTGTTTACAATTCTAATCAACAAGAAAATAACTTAAAATCCACTTAAAATAAGTACTAACTCCCCATAATTATCTAGCTTTAGCATCATTTGTTTCCATAACATAATTAGAAAAACAATCTCAAAATTCTTACAGGTATTACATTTAGATAACTTTCTTTTGTAATCTATTACCTCCTTCCCACTTGCAAGAAACAAATGAAACTAGTTTTGCTTGAGCTTACTCACCACGCATACACCATAGTGGATATGGGCCAGGGTGAAAGCAGCTGTTAGCATATACAGGAGAACACTCTCAAGGTAAGAGGCTACTCCTAAGTTCACTGCCATGACAACCAAGAAGAGAGGAACCAGCAACCAATTCAAAGCTGAGCACCTTGTGCTGCTCATCTGACAAACAATCAACTGACACTGGGTTTACAAAAGAAAGAAAAATGTTTAATTAGCAAAGCATATCCAAAACTACTCACTCTAACATTTAGAAAGTATTCAAGACCTTGAGCCAACATGTTACATTACCTGAGTTCAGTGGTTCTCAACAGGATCAGGGACCCCACCTCCCTGCCCTCTGACTTTGTCTGAAGAGACTAGAAAATAATTTAGTAAGGATGCGATAGAAGGCATTCTTCCACTGGGTCATGACAATTTAGATAAAAGAACTTTCTGCCAATTTCAAGATTCTGTGATACATGAGAAAAAATGTAAAATATCCTATTATCTCCACACAACTAAATTTCTTCACAGCAATGAAGAGGATGCTACTGCCAATATAGCAATATGTCCATAATTGACACTTTAAAATCTCTCTAGCTCCCTTTATTTTCTGTTCTTTACTCAGATACACTTTTACTCTTCCAGAGATAATTTTTATACTATGCATTGGTGCTTTCAAATCTGTATATCCAACGATTTTTGAAGTACTCAGTGAACCTAGGGAGTTGCATACGCTAGGCAATTCTACCACTGAGCCACACTCCAGAGTCATTTTCCACTTTTAAACAGACCCAGTCAGTAGGAACTAGAATATTAAATGCACTGAAGAACGGAAACAGACTCTGACAAAGTTACAAGTCAAGAACTCTGAAGGACCTGGCCTAATAAAGAGCACAGCCTTTCTGGCTCTCAGGATGACCAGGTCCTTTCTCAGCTTCTAATCATTCCTTCTTGTGCTGTTTTCTGGCAACAACACTAAAATTAATTTTTAAAAAATATGTGAGACAGGCATGGTGGAACACGCCTGTATCCCCAGCAATCAGGAGACCATGCAGGAGGACCAAGGGCAGCCTTGACCGCTTGGCAAGACCCTGTCTCAAAAACAGAGAAACAAAAGAAGATACATTCATTACAAAGTTTCTATTTCATATTATTAATCCCCATATCAGCTGCTTTGTGTTTTTCTCTAATATCCCTTTCAAGCAGGACATGGCAGCACATGCCTGTTACCTCTGCCATTCTGGAGGCTGTGGTAGAAAGATTCCACATTGGAGGCTAGTCTGGCCAATTTAGCAATGCCAGGCATGCCTAAAGCCCTTGGTTCAATACCCAGTCCATTACCAAAGCTCCTAAAGAAATCATTACAAGTATAGTCATTCCAACTATACTGTTAACAATATTTACTCTGAAGATAATCTAAATTGTCCTAGGACTAATTCATAGGGATATTTAAGTATGCCATAATTTCATAAAAGCAGTCTGGTTTCAAAGGACAGAAATGAAGTAATTCTCAAGGGACTGGGAGTGTAGCTCAGTTGTAAAGTACTTTTCTACATGCTAGAGGACCTGGGCTCAATTCTTACTACCTGGGTTCAATTGAACCTGGGTTCAATTGATTCTTATTATGCAAAAATAAGCTAATAAAAATAATTCTCAGCTTGTTCTGTGAGATTTTTAAATTTTCTTTCAAATTTGTGATTTTAAAATCTTATTCTAGTATACTAAAAGAGTTCTCAAATTATCAAACTGTCATATATCCCTAATACACATGGTCTTTTTTAAAGAAAAAAATCTTACTGTGATGTTGGCAAAGGCTGTTCCAACCATAAAGTAGAATATTCTAGGATGTATCTCTAGAATATTTGAAGGTGACCAGAGGATCCAGGCTGTAGACAAAATGAAGAGCAAACATGGAGAAAAGAAGGGAACCATAACTTCATAGACTGAACTGTGTTTCAAGGTGTTATTTTTATAGCTTCTGAAAAAAAGAATCAAGTAATACAAAGAACATTATTATATGTAATACTTGTAGCTTGTCATTTCCAAATTACTTTTACATTTGTTTATACTCACAATAATCTTATGGCATAGGTCAAATCAATAATATTTTTGTTTGTTTGATTTTGAGGCAGTGTCTCACTACAAAGCCCAAGCTGGCCTCAAACTCACAGCAATCCTCCTGTCTCAACTTACTGAGTACTACAATTACACAAGCACATCACCATGCCCGGCAGAACCAACAATATTAACGCTACTTTACAGGTACAGCAAGTGAAGATGAGAGATTCTAAACTACATAACTTGTCAATGAATTAGAACCAAGGTTAAGACTGAAAATTCTTACCCTTGCCTATTTTTCCTTCTTTAAACCAAATTATCAAGTGTAGCATAAAGATAAGGTATGCATGGTGATACACATCTATGTAATCCAAGCACTCTGGGAGGCTGAGGCAGGACCACAAATTCAAGCTCAGCCTGGGCAACTTAGCAAGACTTTGCCCCTCAAAATAAAAAGAGTTAAAGATACAGCTCAGTATAAAGGCCCTAGTTTCAATCCCCAGATCACATAAACAAACTTTGTTTTTGTTCTACGAAATAGTCTAATAAGAAAACAAAACAGACATTAAATATCAACAGAGTGACAAGTCCTCCCTAATTTCATGTATTCAAAGTTCAGTGTCCATCCAGCCTATGGAACAACTTGGAGTTAGTGGACCCTTTCGAGGCGGCGCTTACTGTAAAGTCTTGCTGTCATCAGGACATCTCCTGCCCTGAAGAGACTATGGGGCCCCTGCTCCTTCCTCTTTCTGCTTTTCGCAGCTGTCATGCAGTGAGCTGCTGCACTCTACCTCCTGAGCCCTGCACCACACGCCCGCATGTAATGGGCCAACCACGCATACCTTGAAACCTCCAAAACTGGGAGCCAAATTTTTTTTCTTTAACAAGCAAAACAAGCCACTTGTGGCACACACCTGTAATCCCAGGCTGAGGCAATAGGAGTGCCATGAGTTCAAGGCCAGTCAGGCTACAAAGCAAATTCAAAGCCAGCCTAAACTACACAATGAGAACATCCTTAAGCAGAACAACAAAACCTAGCACAGTAGTATCTCATACTTCCACTACAATTTAAAAAAAAAAAAAAAAAAAGAGGTACAGAATTTACAGTATTAACTCACACAAAAGACTGAAGTGAGACTGCCATTATCAAATCTTGGTAACTCTAAGTACAAAAGAAGCCACTGTGTTTCCTTTTCTGATACAGTGTCTCTATACCCAGTTGATTCACAGTGATCCTGTCTCAGCCTCCCCAGCACTGCAATTACAGGCGTGCTCCACCACACGCAGTTTTGGGGCCTGCACAGAGCACCTGGGGTTCTGACACAGTGTGCAGTACTGGGGTTCAAACTCAGGTCCTTGTGCTTGCCAGGCAGGCATTTATGCCACCAAGCTGCCTCCTCAGTCCCATGTTTCCTGCTTTAAGTGCTAGAAAAGTTGTGGAAATGGTGGTGATGGCTACACACAATTGTGAATGTACTCAATACTACTGAATCATGAACTATAGCTAAAAATTGTAACTCATACCTATTTTATTATATAAAAAATAGAGCAAAGAAGATACCTAAGTCTGTGGCTAAGGAGGAACAGAAAAAAACTAAGAAGGTATGATCTGTATTTATTAAATAATAACTCTCCATTTATCCTATCCCAGATCAATGACAACTTCCATTCTGCTTACTAGCTATGAATTTGTCTATTCTAGGTACTTCATATAGGTGGAATCACAAGCCTTTTGTCCTTTTGTCCTGGCTTATTGTACTTAGCATGATGCTTTCAAGTTTTATTCATATTTCTGTTTGATTTGATTCTCTATGATTTCTTTTTAATGATTTCCCATTTGCTTCATACATTGTTTCCATGACATCTTTTAGCGCTTTCTCATTTAAAGCATAGTTAAGAGTGTCATTTTAAAGTCCTCATCAAATAAAGCTAATTTCTGTTGATTTCTCAGGGGGAAAAAACAGTATTTCATACATTTGTTCACCTGAAAAGAGTCCCAATATATTGCCCAATCAAAACCTTACAATTGCAGAGTGCAGGGACCAGGGTTCAATCCCTGGCTTGGTACCACAAGCCGTGTTGGGCCCCCTGTCCTTGGGGCGCACTGAGATGGTGATCGAGAGTGGGCATGGTGGTGCGTGCCTGGAGGCTAAAAACAGGAGGATCACTACGAGTCCGGATCTACATAGTGAGACCCTGTAGACCTTGTAGTGAGACCCTGTAGACTTTGTACTAAATACATTTAAAAAAACAAACAAACAAAAACACCTTACAATTGTAAGATAAGGAGGAAATGACACAATTTCTAAAGCTTTCAAGCTTTACACCTTATGGCCTCTATGAATAAATGAATATGACTGCAATAAATATGACAGATTCACAGAGCTTGGCTGCCATGGGCTAAGATTCTCTGAACTAGATCTGAGCTCAAAGACAAAGTACAAAGTACAAGAAAAGTGTCTCAACTAGAAGAAACAATAGCAGAAAAAAAGGCAGTCAAATTATTAAACAAGGCAAGAACAAAATCTACTCAAGTCACAGTAAATACTTGGAGTGAAAAAGTGGAGGCATGCATAGGTCAGAGGTATGAAGCACAGCCTCCTGCCCCCTCCAAAGCCCTTCTTCCCCAAAGCCAGGAACTGCCATGGAACTGCTATTCCACAAGAGTCAGCAAAGGCACGGAACTACACACCGTCAGCCACATATAATCACTTTACAAAACAAAAGGGAACCATCAATACCCAGTAGAAAAATACTGCCTCCTCGGAGGTACATTCACTGGTAAGAGTGACGAATGAGAATCAGTGAACCCAAAACTACAACAAAAGGCCTAGCTGTCAGATATGATTGAGTTGACAACATTAAACTATCACAGATACTCTAAATTATCCTAAATTCATTTTAGATTCAAGATACTGGTTTTAGGACCTTTTCAAAATGTCCAGATGCCAAAGGAAAATAGAACCTTAAATTCAACAAAGTAATAGTTGCTAAAGGGGGGGTGGGCATACTTTTTGCCCTATTAAAGTACTTACCTGTAAAAATTTAAGAAACTCATTGGGAGAGTTACACATACTGCACAACCTAAGGAAAGAATATTCCAATTACCACAAAGCAGTCAAATGATTACATTATAATAATTGAATCCACACAAAATACTCAATGTTTTTAAATCCAATAATTCTCAGGTTCACCTTTATACCTGTAATAAAACCAAACACATTTCTAAACAGTATCACAACTGGAAGAGTGGCAATACAGTCTGACTGTCAGAGCGCAGGCTCAAGGAGACAGTCTGGACCTCAGTTTTGCTTGCAGCATATACTGGTTATGTGATTTTAGGCAAATCAAACTTTTCACTGTTCAGTTTCCTCATTTACAAAATAGAGAAACTAGTAGTACCACCCCCACAGAATTCTAAAATTAAATAAATCACTACATATGAAGACACTTGGAATACTTCCTACTATACAATAAATCAAGTAAGTATAAGCTACTGGAGGGAGAAATGCAGCCTATGTTTCCTATTTATACTTTTTAACGTCCTTAACATCCCTTTCAATCTCTCCCCTTCCTATCCTACCTCCACGTATGGTCTTCCCAATCTGTATACATATTGTCTCTGTCTATTATCCATTTCTTTCACAAGGTGTTGGGAGCAAAACCTAGGGCCTCACACAAGCGAGGCAAGCACTCTACCACTGAGCTGTACCCCAGAATACAACGACAATGTCTAGTTTCAACAAAATTGCTAGATATGCAAAAACCAGTATAGCAATCATCACAAACTGTTGAATTTGACAAACTATAAAATATATTTCTAAGATGTTCAAAGAACTAAAGGAAAATATGGTGATAATGAACAAACAGATGGAGAATCTGACCACAGAAAAAGAAAATAGAACTAAATGGAAATTTTAGGGCCAGTCAGATAACTCAGCAGATTAAAGCTCCTGCTTAGTCAGATGCAGGGACCAGGATTAGATCTCCAGTGTGCCGTGCTAGCCCTGCCCCTGGGGTATACTGAGACAGCAACTGAGACTGGGTATGGTGGTGTGCACCTATAATTCCAGCACTTGGGAGACTGAGAACAGGAGGATCACTACGAGTGTGATCCATGTAATGAGACCCTGTAGACCCTGTATTAAATACATTTTTCTTTAAAAAAAAAAGGAAATTTTAGAGCTGAAAAGTATGAAAACTTCATTGACAGTTTTACTAGCCAGGCTCAACACGAGATTGCCAATGACAGAAGAAAGCAATAAATTAAAGACACATGAACAGAAATCATCTAATACAAAGAATAAGTTAAAAACAAGAGTAAAGAAAACCTTAATAAAGCCTCAGAAAATTATCCACAGGACACAGGAAGTAAATCTAATATCGTAGAAGAGAAAAAAAGTGGAAGAGGCATAACAAATCTGAAAAACTAAGTGTGGCTGAAAACTTCCCAGTCAAAAATATGAACGTACAGCTTCAGCACAGCTCACATGCTCAACAAACAGAAAGAAAACCAGGCCTGACCCTATCGTAATCACATTTCTGAGATCCAAAGGTTTTAAAAAGAGAACCTTGAAAGCAGGAAAGAAAAATAATATTTTACATATAGGGTGACAAGCATATATGAGCTGATTCAGAAATAATGGATGTCAGAAGACATTAGAATGACACTTCTAAGCTGGGGCAAAAAAGGCAAAAATCAAGATATTTGCACATAAACACAAAGAGTGTATTGCTACCATTCTAAAAGAATTCTTTCAAACTTCCAGAAAAAAAAAAAAAAAAAAAACATACACTAAGACAGATATACAAAAAGGAATGAAGTATAGTAGAAATGTTCAGCTTGTGGAAAGTATTTTACCTGGCATAAAATAACCCAGATTAGAAGTGGTACATTTGAAACGAGATTGGCACACGTAATGAAAACTGTTAATGCTAAGTGCTGACACATAGGGATCTATTACATAAAAACACAAAAACGACACATAAAAGCACAAAAAATAATGCAGACATTTAATTACTTTTCATAACAAAAAAGAAGTAGAGACTGAATACTGTTTTCCACCGTCATAGCCTGTCTGTTCCATCCAAAGACGGCAACCTTCCATAACAAGCCGTTCACCTACGGCCAACCTTTTATCCTCTCCTCACACTGAGGGTTCAGCCACTCTGCGACTAACTGGCATAGGCTCAACGGCTCTTCTACTGACTGGTACCTATTTGGATCTAGCGCTGGAAAAGCTGCTTCATCTCTGTTTAGAAACAAGTGAGTTTTTTACTTAGAGAAAATGTATTTGTAAGTTACAAAAAAAAAGTGTCTTATTAAAGAGTTCAATTAGCATTCAAAACCACACTCATATATTCGCACATATTTTTACATTTTATCTTTAACAAATGGATGTAAAATGTAGCAAACCTACCATAGGACATGCTGTTAAAATCAAGATTTGTTACATGGTAGTAGAAAAAACTAACCTTTTCAAGGTAAAGAAATAATAGTTTATACAGATACCAAAATGAACTTTTCCAGAATATATTACAGGCAGGGTAATTTCTAAAATGCATAGTCCTGAGTCATTGAAAAATGCCCAAACCACTAATCCTCTGAAAACCAAAATATATACTTTCAGACTTCCAAAATATAGGAACTATGTGCCTACTACAAACAGTTTTTAGCAGTCTAATTCCATTCCACTACCATAGTTCACCAACAGAAAGAGAGAGGGCTCTTTTTTAGGTAAGTAAAAAGCAGTCAAATGATTACATTATAGCAATAGCCTACATGCATGCTTTTTACTGCTATAAAGTCCTCCTATAGTCAAAAAATAAACTGCATTCCTCTTTACTTCCATCTATACCTCTGACACTGTCTTACACTCAATTACCCTACAGATAATCTACTTGAGCTAAAATCAAAAGGAAATATCACCCTATAAAAAACATTTAGCCCTCACTGGAAAGTGACAGGCTGAGAGGAAGAGGCTTAATTTCTGAAGTGGCTAGATTAATCTTTACATTTCAACTTTCTACTTCACACAATACTCATACCTTACTAATACCTTTCAGTAAAATCTACACCAGCTGCCCACTTAAATGTGGATAGTCCACTTTAGTCTAGGTTAAGGAGAATGATTACTTTCCAAGACCTGACTGACCTGTTTTGGCATTTTCCTCTGATTAGAAAAAGTTTGGTGCTACACAAAAATCAAAACAAAGAAACTTTATTTTCTTTAATATTTAAATCTTATATAGTTGTAGAATTATTCTGCTTGCTGGAAGGCAGGGACAGGAGTGCTGTTACTTGTCATAGTCAAACATGGGCTTTTGATAACAAAGTGATGGTTAAAACAGGCTTTGACATGGAGCTTCTTACCAATAATCATTGCAGTGAATAGGTCTCTATATAAGAAATTAAACAGGAAAGGTTCATACCAGGCCTCAACTCCTACAACAGCAGTCACTATGTAGACAAAAGAAATAGTCTGGAAGGAAAAAGAGACAAAAGCACACAGAGGCATTAACAACTAAAGAGGCCAGGGAGCCAACAGGGCTTTATACAACATTAAGTCTAGTCATACAGTTTTAGTAAACACAATAAATATTTTTAAAATTTGGTATGTCACAAGTCTTGTCCTCTTTTTCTCTGTCAACAATACCATAAAATAATTAACTTCTATTGACTTCTACAGGTTATCATCTGGAACTGGTAGAAGGCATTAAGTCAGAAGATGATCCAATTTGCCCACTCAACTAGCTCCTCCTTCAACAAGTACCCCCTAGCTACTGAGGGCTTAGGTACACATGGGCAAGACATCACAATGGGATTGTGTTTGGGATTCAGTGGCAGGAAGGGCTGACAGCAAGTCTACTGAAGTAAAAGAAAGCTTTCTACTCACTGAAATTTAGCAATGAAGAAAAAACCCAACAATGTAATTATATATGAGTGTCTTTTTTTTAAGCAAAAATTCATAGTTCAAATGAATGAAATTTTAATGGCATTAAGAAACCATTAGATTTTCGTGTTATAATGACATCATGATTATATTTGGGGGAGAGGGGTTGTTTTGTTGTGTTTTGTTTTTTTTGCTGAGACAAGATCTTGCTATGTAGTGCAAGCTAGTCTTGAACTTGCTTATGCAGCCCAGCCTGGCCTCAAACTCAGTGATCCTCCTGTGTCAGCCTTCCAAGTGCTGGGATTATAGGCATGTATCACCACACTCAGCTGTGATTATTTCCAAAAGAAGCCCTAGTCACTAAGAGAGAAACAGCAAAATATTTATCACATTTCCTTTGAAAGAACTGGAAAGGGGTGAGGGAGGAGGGATATGAAACCAGTCAGGCCACATGCTGCTAACTGCCTAAGTAAGGGATACACTAGGGTTCATTAAATAATTTTCCTATTTTTTAAATATATATATTTGAAAATATGCAGGAATAAGTACTTTTTTTTTTAATTTAATTTTTTTTTTTTGAAAAGTACACATCAGTTATAATCAAAATGGCAAAAGGGCAATAAAGAAGAAATGACAAAAACTTTCAAAAAATATCATGGCAGTGTCAAAAATTTAACACAGGGCTGGCTGAATAGCTCAGCAGATAAAGTGACTGCCAGCAGGCACAGGGGATGGGAATTCAATCCCTGGGCCTGCCTGCCAGCCCCGTCCAGGGGCATGCTGAGACCAGTGATTGAGACTGGGTGTGGTGGCCCACACCTGTAATCCCAGCTCTTGGGAGGTTGTAAACAAGTGGATCACTAAGTCTGATCTAGTAGTGAGACCCTGAACACCCTGCAGACCCTTCCCTAAAATACAAAAAATAAATAAATAAATAAAAAATAAAATAACACAGAACACATACTTACCACCTGGCTAAGGTCATATCCCCACGGCAGGAAAAGAATCCCTGTGTTATACTTTTCCCAGTGGGACAGGATGAAAGAAAACAAAACTACCCATAGCAGGAAATAAAGAACAAAAACAGTGACACCAGTTGATCCTCGTCCAAAGATGGAATACACAGTTACAACAAAGTAAACACATGACCAGCTATCCAAGCCATGATCAAAAAGCTCCCCTAATGGGGTACTAGAATTGGTTCTCCGGGCTTGCTTTCCATCCACGCCATCTATAATAAAAGCACACCATGAAAAAGGGTCAACAGCTATATCCATATAATGGAAAAAACAAATCAGTATATCACAGAATTGTTGAGTATAGTTATTAGCCCATACTATAAAAACCGTAACTTGAATTCTCACAGTTCGAAATTTCAGAAATAAAATGTATAGTTCTTTAAAGTACAATCTAAAAATCAAAATGTTATAACATGCTGAATGATGTCATTTTTAGACATAAAAAAATATCTAGCTGGACTCTGAATTCTTCCAAACAACCCAACCAGATCATTCTACTAACCACAAAGTTTTAAACATTTAATAACTTTTCATTCCAACTTATCTAATTCCTTGCCCTAGGGCCCAAAAGAACTTCAGTCACAACCTACTTCATCCTGTGCGAAATTAGTCATTTTTTCACAAATCTAATGCTTTCATATCTTCAGGTGCTTTCAAAACATGTACATAGTAGGTGCTCAGCAAATACAAAACTAAATTCATTAAACATATGTAATACACTATTATTGGTGCTGCAAAAACACAAGAATCTTGGAATAAACTAAGTTTGTTCCCTCAGAGCAGTTATAATTGAGAAAGGGACTAAGATAATAAAGATATGGTTGTGTTACAAATCATAAAACACCTCATGTAAGGCAAGGAGGGTTGCTTCAGGCTAAGATAACCTAGAATGGCTTTTAAGACAAGATGAAATTTGAGAGAGGCCATAAAGAATGAGTTGGATTTCAGTAAGCAAGAGATAAAGAAGTACACCATTTCAAGAGGGAGGGGCATCAGTAATAAATACTGAGATGGAAAAGTATACCACATGTTCAAAAAACATAAGGAGTGTAGTTTTACTAGAAGCCAGATGAAGGCAGCAATACAAATACCAACAGCTAGAGAAGAAGTTTGAGACAGTTTAAAAGTGTTAGGGAGTCTAAAAAAGGCTACTAAAAGCTTCATGAATATGGGATTGACAGGAGTGAAAGCCATACTTTAAAAAAATGTTCATGAGGGCTGGGGAGACAGCTCAGTGCCTGCCTGGCAAGCTCAAGGACCAGGGTTTGATCGCCGGTACTGCATGCTGTGCCAGCCCCACAACCCCAGGCACACCATGCAGGCCACCAAAACTGGGCATGATGGCACATGCCTATAATCCTGGCACTGGGGAAACTGAGTCAGGAGGATCACTGCAAGTCCAAGCTGCATAGTAAGACACTGTACCAAATAAACAGATAAGTAAATGATTTAAAAAAAAAAGCACAAGGGGCTGGGGAGATAGCTCGGTGACATAAGCACCTGCCTGTCAAGCATGAGGTCCTGAGTTTGCTCCCCAGTTCAAACCCAGGCACTCCAAGCTGCCCCAGAACTGGGCTTAATGGTGCACACATATACCCAAGCACTGGGGAGGCTGAGACAGGAAGATCACTAGGAGCCCAAACGCTGTATCAGGAAAAAAAAAAAAAAAAAAAAAAAAAAAAGCACATGACATCACTGTGAATGCCAGGCCAGAAAGAGGAGGAATAATTAGTAGGCCACAATAAAATGGAGATGGAATGCAGTGGGAATAAAAGCTGGGGGCAGGCAAAACATTAAGAAAATTAAAATGAGAATGTTGGGGCCAGGGAGGTGGCTCAGTAGAATAAGCGCTTGCCTGGCAAGCACAAGCGCCTGAGTTCAACCCCTGGTTCTGCAAAAAAAATAAATAAATAAATAAAATAAAAATAAAATGAGAATGCTGCAAAAGATGCAAAAGCAATGAAATGAAAGGTCTAAAGAGAAGACAATTTCTGAAGATTCTAGACTGCATAACTAAGAGAGTAGCAGTGTTCAAAGTCAGAAGCAGCAACAAGAAGCGAGGAGGGGAAAGAGCATCATTTTAGGCAGTGTGACTGAAGGCATGCTGGGTTCCTCGCATGCTAATCCCAGGCAACTCAATCCAGGAGTTCTTACTAGCTACACAGAACATTAGTGAGGGCTTAGATATAAACACGGGAATCATGGGAGTAAGAATGTTAAGTATCAGGATCCACCAGAATGACACAAAGAGAAAGCCATGAAAAAAGCACAGTAGAATACCGTATGTTAAGGGAAGAAACAGAAGAGACTGCTACAGAAAGACTTACAACAAAACTAGTTAAATAGGAAGAAAAGAGGCTGAGGGTGTAGCTCAGGGATAGAGTCCTAGCATGCACAAGGCCCTGAGTTCCACCCCATTCGGGAGCAGGAGGAATAACTGTATATACTTGCTCACCATGGTATCATCCTCACTGCCCAGCTCAGTCTATGGCACGACAGCCTTAATAATATTGTTGAAAGATTACATGAAAGGATAAATCCCCAAACACCTGCTCAAACCCTGCAAATCCCTGTTACATAGGGTTGGGAAATTTTCTACCCTTTCACAGCTGAACTATCCCCTCAAAGTCTTTTGCACTGTTCACTGATTTAATGATTTCCTATGTTCAGTGTGGCTCCCATATAGCTGTATCACATTAAAATCATGAAATACATATTAATTAGGTTTTGTAAATTTTCTCAATGAGCCCATTCCAGCTACACAAGTCCTGTGTCCAGTTACTTCTCATAAATTTAACACAGGGATAATTTTTTTTTCCTTAGGCAATTCAGGGTGTATTGCATATATATATATATATATATATATATATATATATAATGAAAGACATCTCCTAAACCCTCCCAGGACTTAGACCTGGGATCAAATACATTGATATTTCTATAGCAAAGTGGATGCCTGGTCACACTATAAAGAATAAAAATTATACTGTTCCATGTTAGTTCAAAACAGGTTTTGCAACAAAAAGTTTGTGTTAGGTCAGGATTTTTGCCAAAAAGTTGTGCACATGAAACAACAGGTAGACTACAAGGTACAGTAAAAGGCTCGTGTGACATGCCATCAGAAGGCAGAACTCACACACCACTCTCCTTTTTCCTTGCAGCAGTCCTTGGCAACTAAGTCCACCAGCAGCATTTATACATCTGCTAACAATTACTATCATATATACAAAAGCCTCTACCTAAATATGTAACTTGTAACTGCAGCTTCCCCTAATTCTTCTCTCCCTTCTCCAAACTACAGGCCAGTTCCACCACCTTAGCATTTAACATATGGAGCTATACTGGTTTGTGAGAATGAGTCTTTTTAATTAGACAAAATCTAAGCAACTTGAAGTCAGCATCTCCTATTTTACCTGCATTTAAAAACTTGAGAGTCTGTTATGTTTCAGGCACTGCTCTAGACACTCGGGATTAGCAGTGAACACAGTGACAACCACTCTCAAGGGTGTTCCTCACTCTAGCATGTTAATTAGGACAGATGGTTTTAAAAAGTATGGAGAGCCAGGTGTAGTGGTGCATGCCTCGGGAGCACTGCAGAGGCCAAGGCAGAAGGACTGCCACAAGTGTGAGGCCAATATGGGCTACCCAGTGAGTTCAAGGCCAGCCTGGAATATACAGCAAGACCCTCTTTCACCTGCTTGGTTTCCCACTGTGTTCTATGACAGCATCTACCTCTCCATTCAGTTTTGATTCCCAAACTTAGATAAAAATGTCTTACTAGAGGCTGGCAAATTTTTTGTGTTAAGGGTCAGATAATAAATATTTTAGGCTCTGTGGTCCATACCTTTATGGGTCTCTTGCAAACTATTCAACTTTGTCTTTATTGCATTGAAGGAGCCACATACAATGTATAAAGGAATGAATGTACAGTAGCTGTGTTCCAGTAAAACTTTTTTACAAAAATATAGTAGGATAGCCGGGGAGATATCTTGGTAGAATAAGTGCTTGCTTGGCAAGTGCAAGGGCCTGAGTTCAATCCCTGGTTCTGCCAAAAAAAAAAAAAAGATATATATAGATATATCTATATATATGATAGATTTGAGCTACAAATAAATAGTGGTTTACAACTCTTATTTATCCCAAGTAATGAATGGCAATATTTTCATATATTAAAAATCATATTTACCTATTTGAACAAGATATTAATAAACTCGTTAGAAGAGAATGAGGCAGATGAGAAAATACTAATTTACTGGGTGGCTGTATTTGCTGATTAACCAGCCACTGACTAAAATTGGTATTTTCAGGAAGACAACAAGGAAGTCCACTATCACCTCTCTGTTTAATATGGTACTTGAGAGAATGGTCAGAGCAACCAGGCAAGAAAAGAAACAAAAGGGATTTGAAGAGAAAAGGAAAACTCTCCTTATTCACAGATGACACAATCCTGCACATAGAGGAGTCAAAAAACTCTACCTAAAGATTCCCCTAGAATAAATAAATTCAGCAAAATAGTGGAATACGAAATTGATACACAAAAATCAATAGTGTTCCTGTACATCAATAATGAATCCACTGAGAAAGAAAGCAGGAAAACATTACTTTTCACCATAGCTTCAAAAGAAAAATTAAATACCTAGGAATAGGAGGCCTCATGATCCTAGTTCAAGTTGTATTTCAAGTTATATGACAAAACTACAGTGATAAAAACAGCATGTGTGGGGAAAGAGAGACACGTGAGACAACAGAACAGAACTGAGGATTTAGAAACAAACCCAGGCACATTCAATCATGTGATTTTCCACAAAGAACCAAAAACGGAGGTGGAGGAAAGAGTGCCTCTTTTGGAAATGGAACTGGTTTCCATGATGGATCAAAGACCTAGATATTAACACAGAAACATTTCATCTGCTAGAAGAAAACTCTTGAAAACACAGTATGCCTATGCCAAGGAACAGAACCCCAACTATGTAAGAAATAACACCAAGAATCAACAAATGGAATTTCGTCAAATTCAAAAGCTTCTATGCAGAGCAGAGCAAATAACCTAGAGAATGGGAAAATATCTTTGCCAACTATTCCTCAGATAGAGGACTAATATCTAAAATATGGAAAGAAATAAAAAATTAGACACCCCCCCAAAAAAAAAGTCACAATCAAAAAAGAAAAAACAAGCGGGGCTGGAGAGATGGTTCAGTGGAATAAGCACTTGCCTGGCAAGCACAGAGGCCAGAGTTCAATCCCCAGTTCCACAAAAAATAAAAATAAATAAATAAATAAATTTTAAAAACCAAGCAATTGAAATAGATGGATATCTCTTTAAAAAAGAAGTACAAATGGCCAATATGTACATTTTTAAAAATTCAGCATTAAAAAATTCTGACATTAGAGATATGTAAGTGAAAGCAACACTAACCCTAGAAAGAACAGCCATCATCAAGAACGCGACGACCAAAGCACACTTCATGAGGTCATGAGAAGAAGGAACTCTTCTATATTATTGGTGGGAATGTAAAGTAGTATAATCACTACAGAGATTTATAAATAAAAAATATGTATAAATGTAAACATAACAAAAAAAAAAAACCTATTTGACCCAGCTCACGATACATGCATACCCATGTATACTGCGCAACTCCTAACTGCTAAATCCTGGTAGCAGCCTGTAGGTTTATCAACACATAAAGATGTGGGATACATATACAGTGAGGTACTACTCAGCCATAAAGAATGATACATGATTTATGAGTAGGAAAATGGATGTACCTTGAGATCATAATGCTGAGCAAAATAATTAGACACAAGGTTAAATATTGTATGGTTACTCTTCTATGAGAAATCTGAAGTATAAAGAGAATGACAGGAAAATAGACTACGTAGAGACTGGAAGGATACCTAGAGATGGAGGAAGACAAGAAGAACTGAAAGGGAAGGAGAAGTAAAAAGGACTAAGATGTGGTATGTATATGCACTGAGTCCCCACAATGAAAGTATTTATTATGTATTGCTAAAATATATTAGTAAAGAGCCGACAAGACAGCTAAGAGGACTAAGCACCTGCTTAGGCAAGCACAGGGATCAGGGTTCATTCCTGATACCACATGCTGGGCCAGCCCCACCACTGGGTACACTGCGCTGGCCACTGAAATTGGGTGTGGTGGCGCACGCCTGTGATCCCAGCACTGGGGAGGCTGGAAACAAGAGGATCACTACGATTCTGAGCTGCATAGTGAGACCCTGTACCAACGCATAATAAAGAAACAAAGAAACAAAGAAAATACACTAGTAAAAAGGGGAAAAATTTAAAAATAGTATCAGTATTTATACTTTCTTACCTAGCGTGTAGGCTGTAAAGTTGAGGATGCCCACTACAATCCAAACCCAGTCAGGTACATGCCTGTGACCTGGAGCTGCAAAAGAAAGCAACTGATGTTTGAATATAGGCTTTCTGCAATAGTTCTTATCATACTACTTCCTGCCAATGAGAAGGATTTTAACAAATTCATAAATTTGGCATGTATGCCGAATGCAGAACTAAACTAAAATTTATCAAAAACTGTCAAACCAAACATATAACTGCTTAACCCTTTATTTATATCAAGTATTTGTATCAAGCCTTTATTATAAGTCAAAACTAAGTGTTCTCCTTTACTTGAAAATAAGTTATCAGCTCTCAATGAAAAATAACACATTCTTAAAATTTATAAACATGACTACATGTAATCTAATTTTTATTGTTTGCGATTATACTATGAACACATATTGTTATGGCTTACATCTAAAATTACCCACAAAAGTCTTCCATTTGGAGGCAGAGCCTGGTCAGAAGGTGGGGTCACTTTAGATGTGACTTGGAAGGATGTAGGCTCTTCCTGGCTTCTCTTTTCTCTGCTTCCCAACCACCATGACATGAGCAAATTGCTGCCAGGCTCTTTCACCACTGCTTCTGCCCTGGAACCATGGACTGAATCTACTGAAACTACCCAGAACTGTAGACATCAGGAACTCTATCTTGGCAACAGAAAAGCCACTGGTAAAAACAGAGCCTTTATGTTATACTTTCTCATTGTATGATTATAGATGGATCTCCTCAACTAGATAATTTGAGCCTCAGGATCATCCAAAATGTCTGGATAGTTTCCCCTCTGATAAAACAACTGAGAATTTAGACATCTAGGTTCTAGGCTGCCTCTGTAATCAATCAATAGTGCAACTTTGGATATATCATTTAACTTCTGTCTTGCATTTTCCAAGAGTACTGGGACTTGAGGGTTCATGTGTCCTTGAAGTTCTGATTTGAAGAAATATACATATTTTACATATTACTATTTCTCTATGTAATGATATAATAATTTTATTTAGCCAGAGAAGATATTTCTAACTACAAAAATATTTTAGTATTTTCTGAGGATTAAAATATAAAATTAAAAATCTAAACTAACAAAAAGCCTCATAACACAGGGAGATAGCTCAGTAGAATAAGCACTTGCTTGGCAAATGCAGGGTCCTAAGTTCAATCCCTGGTACCGCAAAAACAACAACTAAAACCATGCATAATAAAATAAAATTTAATTTTACTGATTATTCTTTTTTTTTTTTTTAAGTAAAAGGTCAAAGGACCTTGTGCTTGCCAGGCAGGCGTGCTTAAGCTATTGAACTATCTCCCTGGCCCTGATTATTCTTATCATACTTTAGGATCTTTTCATGCTTCTGCCTGGTATTTAAGACTTCAGTGTCCATTCTGCTCTATGATCAGAAGTTTTAGCTCAAAGTTTCAGCTGAAAAAATTCAGCATATGCAGTTTCAATATTCAGAATTTCTATAACATCAAAAGTGCTAAGTGATTGAAATTCCCAAGTTTTCCTATAGAACAATGCTGCCAATGGCTGTTGACTCCTCCAGGTCAGGCCACAAAAGTCTGCTGGACCCACAAAACAGATGAACTATAATACTAAGACTCCTCACTATATTGTTTATAAGTTTTGATTTTGTTGTTCTTCTGAAACTGGATCTCACTGTGTAGTCCAGGGCAGCCTCAAACTCACTATGTTGCGCACGCTGGCCTTGACCTTTAATTCCTCTTCTTTAGCCTTCCAAAGTGCTGGGCCTACAGGTATGCACCATGACAGTTGGGTCACCTATTAAGTATTCTTATCAGAAAACAAATCTCCAACTTGAAGGCAAAAGCTACTACCTGGCCTCCACCTTCCTACTCTTTTCCGTTCAGTGAGCTGGCTGAGCAGTAACAGTAAATCCTACCTCCTACCATTCCTCCAGACACTGCAGACTGTTTCCTGTGGCCAGGGAAAGAGCTGGGTGTGGCAGAGCAAAGGAACAGGGTTGGGAGAGGATGCTGCAGGGCATGGGGACGGGCTGGACACCAACTCCCAAGGGTCTCCATCCTCTCTTCTCCAACAGAGTGCAAGCCAACATCAACAACATTTGAGGTACAGGGTTGAAAGAATTAAGATGTGCTGTGTACAGGTACCAACCTGCCACAGGAACATCATCAGTATGCACCACAAATGAGTACTGGTGAAAATGTTTAGAACACTTAGGTCTACGAATTATATTTAGAGGAAACTGGGAGTCATTAGAGGCTAATAAGGAATGAACAGAGGGAAAGACAGACACGTCCCCTTTAGAGGAAAGGGGATTTTTTCTTCCAGGAAAAGAAGAAGGGATATTCCTAGATGATAAGTATGTTAGGCTCAGGTTGTATACATTTTCAGGTAGTTTTACTATCCTAAATCTGTCTTCATGTACATCTAATTATTCATTTGCCAAAACTTCATTGCTTTTAAAACAGCATATCTAAACTCCATACGTAAAATGATAATATATTTCTAGAGCTTAATGGAAACATACATAACACTATAAAATCACAACACAGTTTTTATATACAATTATGATATCTTAAATAACAATGCCCAAAACTTTTCAGAACTATAAGCAATGTAATAGAATGATAACCGATTATACCTCATTTTTCTCTACTTAGACATTTTAAACTTAATATTAAGGTAATATTCTTACCTGAAGCATAAAAATCAGGATCAAAGTATGCCATAAGTAGAAAATTGAACACAACCAGCAGAAAGCCAGAAAATGTTATCAGATTCGGAGCCAGCCAAGTAGGAAATGCCTATTTTTCAAAATAATTATAAAATAATTAAAGGAATCTTTGATAAACACAACTTAAATTCAAATCATAATAAAAGATCATATGCAGGAGTTACACAGATTAAAAAGTAAATCATAATCCCCAGTTAGTATAAATAAGCATTTTCCTGGGTGTGATGATGCACACCTGTAACCTCTCCCTCTTTGGAGTCTGAGGCAGGAAAATTATCACAAATTCAAGGCCAGCCTGGGCTGTATAAGGAGCTCAAGGCCAGCCTGAACTACTGACAGAGACT